CTCCGCAATATACAGATCCAGAGAATACTAATTCTAGGTCTTTTCTTCTTCATAAAATATGTATCCACTCTCGAATAGTAATAAATCCCTTTCGCAGTAACCGCACCGGAGATGGGCTATATATTTATGAATTCTACTAAAACAGTCAGCTATATAATGGCATCGAAAACATAGCTTACTATCTCTTACGCAGAGTGTAAGTTACTGGAACGCTTTTCGCATGAAGAGAAAGATAGAAGAATTTTTCGTACAGAAGGAAGTCTGTCTACCATAGTTTTAAACCATAGTTTTGACCCAGGGGAAATAGAAAGTGAATCATTCAGTCCTTTTAGACACCTGATTCTAAAAATTATTCAGTTACCACCTTAGAGACACTGTCTCCGCTCACCATTCTTGAATAAGCGTCCCCGACACCACTTTCCTATGACGCTTAACCATTTATAGAGAGAAGTAGGGTTCAAGAAAGGATAAAGAGTATACCGCTTTGGCACGCAACTATAATCTAGCGCTCCGCGCAAGCGTACATCATCGATCTGATACTGTTGTCGCTCAATTTGTCATTCCAATTCCTTGGCAGTCGTTTTCGACTAGGGAAGAAAGAAACTAACGATAAAATTAGTTCAATAACGTAACCAGAGACACCCACTTGTTACGGGGCAGCCCATTTGATTGGATATTAATTACGGATAATGCTACAGGCCCCACATCATGCCTTTAGGTAAGTACTGCTAAGAACCCATAATTTAACAATTTATTGTACCATTTCGTGTCTTACATGTTTCCTTTCAAGATACCAAGCAACAGAATAAAATATACTCTCGACTTTCCCCAAGTGATAGGTCTATGGTTGACCTTGCCTTATCTTACGCTTCTGAGGGCGACTTCAACCAGGCAATAAGGAGCTTTACCAGTGATCGAGGGAATTCAAAACTAGAGGAGAAAATTCTGGAGGCATATTGTGATAGCTATGCGCACTTTAAGGAAGGCTTATTGGGTTTCTATTATGATTTAGCCTAGACTAAGACTTCTCACATGGGATCACGATTGTTACGGCCAGTCCCGCCTTATGAATTACTATATATTCATTCTCGAGTAGATAATAAAGTACTGAGAAGAGGAAAAAGAACAAACGGCTTCCGCTCAAACGTACAAATTTATATGAGTTAGCATATCAGGCTTAGTAACGAGCCAATAGGATTCTATATATAATCCCGTACATTAAAAATTGTGCTAAAGACGTGCGAACCTAGGGTATGTAGATATGGAGCGTAGGAATTGATTTTAGGAGCTTCATTTCACCTACCGCTCTGCACGAATTTTTGAACTATTCGAAATTCGCGAATATCGGCGAATCAAGTCGAATTCGAACCTTGATTTCGAACTTCGAATGTATGGGCAATTCGATTCGTAAAAACCCGCGAATTTCGAACAGCCTGGTTTTCTTACGAAAACAGGCTTTTGGAGACCGCCAATCCCGTGGAACAAGCCTCAAATTCGTAAACATGACCACTGAATCTATTGTATATAAAAAGTCATATTTTATAATTCATAACCTGGATATTCAAAGTTGTATGTTGAATTAGGGCGTAATGTACCAACACCAAATACGCCAATAAGAACTATTCAGACTTCCAGCGTGTATCTCTCCCGCCATTGGACAATCTCTCTATATCTACCTCTGCTGCTGGTATAGCAAGGTGATCTTGTGCTACCTTGAATATACAAGGAAATTCAAGCTTATGGGCCTGCTGGATGGTGCTGTTCCAACTTCCAACGCTATAGTTGAAGATCGTAGTTTAGATGCAAATTGAAAGAATCGACACGTAGATAGTAATACAATACGCTGACATTTTAAGCTCAGGTCGTCCATTATTTCCTAATTTTCAGGTACCAGGTTCAGGTGTCGTCAAGTAGTACAGTAGTTTGCACCATCAGAGTAACAACTAACACTCTCTTCTCTTTCTTCCGAAACAGCGCCAAGAATTTCCTAGTCTATATATGGCTAGATCCGGAATAACCCTGGCTCGTGTAATTTTCTCCCTGGGGTATTGCGCATTCGCAGATTTGATACGCCCGTAAATTACATTGTATCGCTGCCTAGACTTGGTACCTCATCGTAGTACTGATGTTACCCCACGTGAGCACGCTTCCACGAGCAGACGATGCAGCACGAATCAAAAATGATCCAGGCCACTTAATAAGATGCTACTTTGCTGGACAACCCTTTCTAGTATAGCTAGGATGAATAAGAATCATGCTCACACTCTTATGTTACCTCACGTGCAACTGACCAGCAAAAGTAGCCCCTCATTAACCCCACCATGTAGCTTGTTATCCTCATCTTTCTCTATTCACTGTAGGTTGTGTTGCTAAGAAGTTTATCTCCTGACTTAGACGTCAATCTTCCATAATGGCCGAGTCTCCACTATACTTGTCGAGACCCACCTGTACCAACAATCTCATCAGCCGCTTGACAAGCTTCGACCGTGATCCAAAGGAAAGGAACGCGTTAGAGGCAGTGGTTTCAAAGATGATCGAAATCTTTAAGGACGATAGAAAATTGCTGTATGTGCCGGAGGTTGCGGAGCTGTCATCCGCAGTCAGTGGGAAAGATTATCTCGAATTAACAGTGGCACTCTCTAATACTGTTATCAAAGGGACGTCCGACGGCAGCATACTCGACGAGAAGCTCCTTACGAACTACGCTTATTTCCTCCGGCGAGCTAACGGTTCTCTGTCACCAGCAACCACTGTACTCGGATCAGTCCTAATGAGCCTACAAAAGCGACTAGACGAGGTCATAAAACAAGCTAGGAATGGAACGCAATATCAGTTGCAGCTGGTGTCTACAGTGTCCGCTATCCTGGACGCGATGGTAGACCTCAAGATCTATGGTCTTGACCGGGTAGACTTGTACGAGCCCTTGCAAGAACAGCTCAAGTCGTTGATGGATCATCAAGAGCTTCGCCTCGCCCAAGCTGCCACCTATAGTCGCGAAGCCCTGCTGGGTCTGCCAAACAATGAGAGTTCCTATCATGCATTCTTGCGCCATGCTTGTGCAGTTGCACGAGGTGCGGCAGGGGTGGCGGGAGCAGTTCCGACCATGGATCCGGCAAAATTGATGGATGCTATTCCGGACCTGATGAATGTGCCAGATCTCATCAAATCCGTGGTCGATGTCGCTTCCGATTTTTACAACATATACGATGGGGTAGGAAGCATGGCAAAAGGCATGAAACGTGTACCGAAGCAGAAGAGCTGGTATGTGTCGCTACGGTACACAGATATGCTGATCCGGTCTGCGGCGTGGCAAAAGCTTGAGGAGTTTATCCGGGAAGTACCCTGTGGTCGGGAAGAGACATTCTTGTGTGGCTTGTATGCTCAGCTCGAGCAGGCCTGGATCGCAGGAGATTCGTCAATCAGAGACCGCGTCGTTGACTCAATTCAACGCAGCATTTCTCAAGTAGGACCAAAACACCATCGTGCGCAGGAATGGGTCAAGCTGATTGCTGACACTGTTGGTCGGCCATCTTGGAAGAACTCCCTCCCTAGTCATCGACACATCTTGAGAATTAGGAAGAATCAAAAATACGAACCCAAACTAAAGATGTTTCCTATAGAAATTGGAAAAACTGGAAATCTCCCAAGGCACTTATTAAATAGAGCATGGTCCGAGTGTGATGAAGCACAAAAGTTCTACGCTGACGCCTTTTTACGCGAGTATTACACACAAGGACGACTTAAGATTAAAAGGCTATCTGAGGACCTGCTAGATATGGAGCAATGCTATATCAACCTCGCGGTTATAGAGCTGTCACAGAATGGTGCTAAAAGGCAGCTAGACAATGAGAAGACGGAACAGCAGCCTTTAGTGTTCACGCTCTTCACTTGGCTGAAGGTTGAGGTGGGCAACACGGAAATAGAGGTGAAACTGCCTAATCTGTTCAAGGACCAGATACGTCCAGACGGCACTATGTCCCGGCCTAAGCGGATCTTAATTCGAGGACGTGCTGGAGTTGGAAAAACCACCCTGTGCAAGAAGATCGTTCATGATTTTCTATATAAAAAGATGTGGGAGGAACTTTTTGACCGCATCTTTTGGATACCTCTGCGGAGTCTAAGGGGAAAGTCAAGCTTGGAGGAATTACTTTCCCAAGAATATTTCTCCACGCAGAGGGAGCCTGAGTGGTTAGTTCAAGCACTATGGAGAGGCTTAGGTGATGAAAAAAACGAGAGAACCTTGTTGTTACTTGACAGTCTCGATAAAATCTCCGGAGAACGGAGTATCTCCGGAACAGACCTGACCAAAAAATTTAGGGGCCTATTGAATCGACACAATGTTATCATTACCTCCCAGCCATATGCCATAAATATACCGGGCCATACTCCCTTTGACCTGGAACTGGAAACCATTGGATTTCATAGAGACCAAGTGCAGGCCTATATAACAAAGGTTGTGGACAAAACTGACGCAGAAGCCATCTGGTCTTTCATCCAGGGTCATTGGCTTATTCAGGGACTGGTCCAAATTCCAATCCAGCTTGATGCGTTATGCTACAGTTGGGATAGCGACCTGCGTTCTCGTGGTGTCCCAGAGACTATGACAGCACTCTACAAAGCCATCGAGTTAAGATTATGGAAGAAGGATATCCTGCAACTAAAGAAAGGAGATGGAAGGGGGGGACTACTGAGCAAAAGTCAAGTCCAAAAATTACAAATCCATTCGCAAATCGAGTTCTTGGCGGAGAAAGAAATTGAATTGGTTGAATTCTTCGCTTTTACTGGTCTTTACAACGACATTATCGAGTTTGACATACGCTTTCGAAGTAGGATATATACACAGCCTAGCCTTCGCAGCATGTCAGATGATGAATTAGACCGACTTTCTTTTCTACGCACATCGGACCCTTCCTCGGAACGCAAGGATCGGATTTATAATTTTATCCATTTGACTTTTCAGGAATACTTTGCAGCGCAGTATTTTGTACGACGCTGGATAAGTCGGCAACCTCTCCAATGTCTCACATTCGGCTTTCAGAAGAATATAGTAGAAATTACTCCAGAAAGGCTCCTTCAGCAAGAAAAATACAGCGGACGCTATGACGTCTTTTGGCGATTTGTAGCGGGGTTACTCCAGAGCCAAGATGAAGAACAACTGTGTAGGTTCTTTCAATTGATGGAGGATAAACCGCACGACTTCCTGGGTCCAGCACATCAACGGATTCTCATGCATTGCTTCGGTGAAGTGCCTCCAAACTCCGGCTTAGAGAATCTTCGAACACTGATCGAGGCCCAGTTGAAACAATGGGCACTTTTTGAATACAAGCTTCGGGGAGAAATGACATTATGCCGTGAAATGGAGTTTCCCAACAATGTCTTGATTAGTATGATGAATGAAGGGGAGCCTAAAGATGTAAAGAATGCTATCCTACAAGCTCTGCGGCATCGATCAAACTTCTCGGTTTGTCTCGTAAACCTGGTAGCATATCTTCTAGGACAGAATGTTTCTAGCGACTTGGAGTGGTTTGCCATTAATGCATTAGGCAGACAAACCTCTTTGCCAGACAATATTCTCCAAGCTATAGTGCGTCGACTGGAGCATTCTGAATGGTATATAAGGCAGTCCGCCATTGATGCCTTAGACAAACAAGCCTGTTTGTCAGATGATATTCTCCAAGCTATAGTACATTGCCTGGAAGATTTTAAAGGGGAAGTAAGAGAGTCTGCTATTAATACCTTAGGCAAACAAACCTCTTTGCCAGACAATATTCTCCAAGCTATAGTGCATCGACTGGAGCATTCTGAATGGTATATCAGGCAGTCCACTATTTATGTCTTTGGCAAACAAACCTCTTTGTCAGACGATATTCTCCAAGCTATAGCGCGTCAACTGGAGGATTCTGAAGGGTATGTGAGGCAGTCTGCCATTGATGTCTTAGGCAAACAAACCACTTTATCAGATGATATTCTCTAAGCTATAGTGCGTCGACTGGAGCATTCTGAAGAATATGTAAGGCAGTCCGCCATTGATGTCTTACACAAGCAAACCTCTTTGTCGGACGGTATTCTCCAAGCTATTGTGTGTCAACTGGAGGATTCTGAAGGGTATGTGAGGCAGTCCGCCATTGATGCCTTAGACAAACAAATCTCTTTGTCGGACGATATTCTCCAAGCTATAGTGTGTCGACTGGAGGATTCTGATAGCTATGTGAGATGGTCTGCCATTAATGCCTTAGACAAACAAACAGCTTTATCAGATAATATTCTTCAAGCCACAGTACGTTGGCTGGAGCATTCTGAAGGGTATGTGAGGCAGTCCGCCATTAATGTTTTAGACAAACAAACCACTTCATCGGACAATATTTTCCAAGCTATAGTGCGTCGACTGGAGGATTCTGATGAGGAAGTAAGGCGGACCGCCATTGATGCCTTAGATAAACAAACCGTTTTATCAGATGATATTCTCCAAACTATAGTGCGTCGACTGAAGGATTCTAATAGAGATGTGAGGCGGAGCGCTATTAATGTCTTAGATAAACAAACCGCTTTATCGGACGATATCTTCCAAGCTATAGTGTGTCGACTGGAGGATTCTGAAGGGTCTGTAAGGCTCTCTGCTATTTATATCTTAGGCAAACAAACCTCTTTGTTGGACGATATTCTCCAAGCTATAGTGCTTCGACTGGAGGATTCTGAAGGGTATGTAAGGCAGTCCGCTATTGATGTCTTAGACAAACAAACCTCTTTATCGGACGATAGTCTCCAAGCTATAGTGCGTCGACTGGAGGATTCTGATAGCTATGTGAGGCAGTCTGCCATTGATGCCTTAGGCAAACAAACCTCTTTATCGGACGATATTCTCCTAGCTATAGTGCGCCGACTGGAGCATTCTGAATGGTATGTGAGGCAGTCCGCTATTAATGTCTTTGGCAAACAAACCTCCTTGTCAGACAATATTCTTCAAGCTATAATGCATCAACTGGAGGATTCTGAAGGGTATGTGAGGCAGTCCACCATTGATGCCTTAGGCAAACAAACCTCTTTGTCAGATGATATTCTCCAAGCTATAGTGCGTCGACTGGAGCATTCTGAAGGGTATGTGAGGCACTCCGCCATTAGTGCCTTAGGCGCACAAACCTCTTTGTCGGACGATATTCTCCAAGCTATAGTGCGTCGACTGGAGGATTCTAAAGAATATGTGAGATGGTCCGCCCTTTATGCCTTAGACAAACAAACCACTTTATCGGACGATAGTCTCCAAGCTATAGTCCATCGACTGGAGGATTCTAATAGGCATGTGAGGCATCCCGCTATTTATGTCTTTGGCAAACAAACCTCTTTGTCAGATGATATTCTCCAAGCTATAGCGCGTCGACTGGAGGATTCTGATGAGTCTATAAGGTGGACCGCCATTGATGTCTTAGGTAAACAAACTGTTTTGTCAGATGATATTCTCCAAGCTATAGTGCGTCGACTGGAGGATTCTAATGGGTATGTGAGGCAGTCTGCCAATTATGCCTTAAACAAACAGATCACTTTATCAGACAATATTCTCCAAGCTATAGTGCGTCGGCTGGAGCATTCTGAAGAGGATGTGAGGCAATCCGCCATTGATGCCTTAGACAAACAAACCTCTTTATCAGACGATATTCTCCAATCTATAGTGCTTGTGCTTTCCAAGAACACCTCCAGTACAGATTCTGAATCTGTAAGCATGCTACTAAAGCAGGATAACCTCTATGATAGTTTCCAAAATTTTGATGTGGAAACTTTGCGTTCATTATATAGATTATTGGTTCAGCAAAGCTTTAGTGAGCATTTAAGTTGCTATATGCAGGATGAGACCTTCTATATTAACATGCCAGATCGACAAAAAAGGGTTTCCTTGGTGCAGAGCAAGGATGTGTTTCTGGATGTGTTTCGAGACGAGGCAGTGGCTTTGGGAAGGCCTCTCACGGCATCAACAGATGACCTTAGATTGCGTTAATTTATTTATCATCTATTACTGTATCACACCGAGTTGCACTGTTAGAATGATACGTCGTGCTAGCGAACCTAATATTAGCGTTGCCACGGTTAGTTTTGGAGCTTGTTGTATGGCCGCAACTGACAGGCTGAAGGAATGACTAGCAGCTGCATGAGATGTGTGCGTTCCTCCTCAACCAGTGCTCCAGGGCACTAGCCGTTCTGCGTATGATGGAAACCTGTTCCAAAGGTCAACGGTTCTGTATCTTGTGATGGCAACAGAATACGAGATAATTTCAAACGACAAAGTGCCAGGTTTACCAGACATTGTCTGGACGCGTGCCCAGACACAGTCGAATATTCCAGAATTGTGTTTTATCATCATACATGTATTGTAAATAAAAATCCGTATCAAGAGGTAAAGTAATGTTTCCGCATTAACATTATTCCTCCACTATTCTATATTTATAGTAGTGTCTTCTTGGCACTGTTTCAGATGAAAGAGAAGAGAGTGTCAGTTGTTACTCTGAAGGTGCAAACTACTGTATTTCCAGATCTTGCTCTGCTCTCTTGGCCGGGCCTCATCTTTCTGCTTAATTTCGACACTCCTAGCCTCGCATTTCACCTGAGATATTGATTGCGAAGGGTGTATTCTGTATCAAGGTTCAATAAGCTCTGAAAACCATTACTGTCAGCTGCCGGAGAGCCTGAAATCCTAGCGCTAGCCAATTTTGTAGTATATACTACTTTCATTTTTCTGGATGGTGGAAGTGGTATATCCCCTTTGAAGAGACCATTTTCATTAAGGGCCACATAATCGCGTTTTTCCTTCCAAGTATGAGGAAGTTCGAGTAAAATTATTATTAGTTTATCTACATCTAGGTTGCTAACACCAGATACGTAGAACAGCTAATCCAACAAGCTGACGAGCCTATATTATTCTGATTTCTGATAACATGACTACTCCCCAAGAACTCAGGATTTGGGATGCCTAGTTAGGCATGATTGAGATACCAGCAATTATATGCTGGTTTCCATATTGTCTAATAGTTCCGATTAAGAATAACTAGCTGAAGTATCCACACTTTCCACCATGCCATTAAAATATTGATACACAATGTAATGAGCCTATCGGGACTGCTAGTTATTTTACCTGTTGAGGTCTTAACACGTAAACGTGTATGACCATAGCGTGAGAGAGCACGAAATGAGCCGGGCCAAACTAAGATGGTGGAGGATGGTTGAGCTTGTACTCTGTACTTACAGTCAATCTCGAAATCGGACTTTTCTTGCCCCACTGCCAAGGCCTTGCCGACAAACGCTGGTGGGACACGTGTTAGATAACTAGGTGTCGACAGGACGATACCTCTGACCCTAATTAAGAAAGTGCACATCGCCAAAATGCCCCTTGATACCAATCAACTACAGTGGTCAAACCTGTATAGTTTCATGTTTGTGACTCGGATTCTTCACTTTGCCTTAGCTGAAATTCCTGTTGTTATTTCCCTTACTTCTCTGAGGCCGCATTGGAATATATAAAGACATAGAATCACCCTCAATTCTTAGAAAAAGGGCAGGGGGAAGACATACAATTTTGCTTGTTAATTCTACTTCCAATACGAACACTTTCCACGTAGCAAAGCTAGGAATCATTGCCGAATCTGCCCCCACGGATTAGTAATAATCCAACAACACGGTGGAGCATGGCTCTATTCTAGTCCCACAGCCAAGCCTTAGCGTAGATCAACTTACTCGAAACCTCCTTCATGTTTTACACAAACACTCAGTCAATAGATGCCTTGGAGCCTTACACGTGATCCCGCTAACACCGCTCAGCGATCGCGCACTCCGTTCTATTTCTTCCTTTCCTCATGTTTTGTATTGTTGTTAAATAGCTCCTAGATTAGGTATAGGACTAATATAGGTCTTTGGACAGATTTCTGTCTTCGGACAGCTGTCCTAGGACAAATAACTGTCTTCGGACATATATCTCATTACGTTATATTTGTCGTAGGACAACTGTCCGAAGACAAAAATCCGTCCAAGGACTTATTTTAGTCCTAGGACAGCTGTCCGCGGACAGAAATCCGTCCCAGGACAGCTGTCCGAAGACAGAAATCCGTCCAAGGACCTATATTAGTCCTAGGACAGCTGTCCGAAGACAGGAATCCGTCAAATGGTGCCAAGCTATATATCATAACAATCCATTACTATACCTAACTAAAATATTGATAGAACCCTATCTCTTACGCATAGTGTAAGTTATTGGAAGGCTTTTTGCATCTCTGGCATGAAGAGAAAGATAGAAAAATTTCCCGTATAGAAGGAAGTCTGTCTACCATATTTTTGAACTAGGGGAATAGAAAGTGAATCATCCAGTCCTTTTAGACACCTGATTCTAAAAATTATTCAGGTGACCACCTTACGTAAGAGACAGCTGTCTCCGTGCCTTAGTATGAGGAAGTCGAATAAAATTATATATAGGTTTTGTGAGTGCATAAAGCACGTGTACACGTTAATGTACATACGTACGTAGGATGGTTAGCAGGTACTGCAATTCTGTATGGGTTCAAATGTATATGATTGTTGCTATCTAACTCACGCCCCGACGCGGTCTTACATCCCTCTATCCTAGACGAGGTCACGTGACGCCCTGCGGCTCAGTGCGTTGGAGTGAGGCATCTCGATTGCTTCCACACTCTCATACGGATACGACGCAGAAGTAGAAGCAGCTCTAGCTGGCGCTCAAGCAGCAATAGCGTATCCAACAGCTCAATTTGCTACCAACCTATGGATCTGCCTTGACAACCTAGAAGTTGCCATACGCCTTCTATCTCCCTCTACAGGATCTTCCCAAGAAATCTTTGAATCCTTCCGCACCCTTGCAGCCACCTGGCCACTTCGCAAAAGGCTTCCTCACACCAAAAGCGGATCTATTCAAATCCGATGGGTCCCTGGACACGCTAAAATCCCTGAGAACGAAGCGGCTGATCTCGCTGCCAAAGAGGGAGCTGCCTCAATCCCTCCTGCCCCTCACAAATCCTCATACGCCTCGCTAAAGAGATATGCCAAGACTCAATCCCTATCCGCTGCTCAGTCACAATGGGAGAAGGTGGCACCACAGAGCTATCAAGATCTAGAAATAACCACTTCCCCTAAGCGCCCTGGGGAGCTTCAACTCAACCAACTTGACCTCGGCCATGTTATTGCGGCCCGTACTGGTCATGGAGACTTTGCAGACTACCATGAACGCTTCAACCATGATGATGCTTATCTTCTCTGCCGATGCGGAGCACGAAAAGCACCTCTGCACTTCTTCTTCTGTCATATAGCTAAGAGACGAGCCCCTCGGCCTCCTGGGCCCCCTTCTGAGGTCATCTCTTTTCTCTTAGGCACTGCTAAAGGAGCACAAAAGCTAGCCACATGGCTAGCAGAGACCCACTTCTATGAGGATATCTGCCCTCGCCAACCTCTCCTTAGCACCTAGCTAAGACAGCCCTACTCTTCCTTTATATTTCTCTTCTCCTTCTTTCTTCCTCTTCTCCTTCTTTCTTTCTCTTCTCTTCTTTCTTTCCCTCTCTGCAAAACTTACTGTTCAGTTATAATAGTGGTGGAGTAATAGGTCATGGAGTGTAGGCGGACCATTGCAGCTGGCAAATACCTAAAACCCACTCAAAGTGGACCTCCCTGTAAGACCACGGCAGCTATGGAAATGCGCCAAAGAGTCTCTTATTTGTACATAAATATGATAGGACCTGAAACCCGAGGCTTACCCCTCGGCGGCCTATGTCCCAGTAGGGATCGGTGGGAAGCGTGCGAGTCACGAACCACGGCCGTTAAATATACACACACACACACACACACACACTCGATTGCTTCCACAAACCAACAGGTTTCCATATTGTCTTATTAAATAGTTCGGAGGTGGGAGTCAAAAGTAAAGGGAGGGCTGTTTTTCCTAACCCTTTTTTCACTACTTTATACCAAGACACTAAGTACAAGCGAGGCCTTCTGATTGACCGATTCTCCATCCTGAGCACATCCCAAAGAGGCATCGTGCGCCTATAATATGAGGCTTGCAACAAGATCTTACGCGTATGACCGCAGTGTCGGAGAGCGCCAAATGACCTGGCCCAAACTAGGATGGTGGAGAGATGGTCTGTGACAGTGCCAATCCAGATCTCATAACAAATTCATTGCTATGCCTAATCTAGGTGCTATTCAACGACAATACAAAACATGAGGAAGGGAAAACAGGAATAAGTGCGTGATCGCGGAGCGGTGTTAACAAATAGACGAGATCACGTGTGGGGCTCCAAGGCAGCCATCAGGCATCACTGCAGGCAAGCACACAAGGTAGGGTATGGAATAGCAATGTACTAAAATCTTCTCCTTCTGCTGTTGCGGCTAGAATATCCACACTTTCCCCACCATGCTGGTACGGTATTGATATACACTGTAACAAGTCTGTCAGATCTGCTGGTTATTGACGGCGATTCGTTATGGCAGGCTTAGGGTTGACATACTATTTTGTTTAATGCACCATGACAGCTAATCCTTGATCCTCGTCGTGGTTCTTGTTCTCTTCTAACTTATCTAATGATTTGTAATGCATAACCCCGCTGAAACGGGAACCGGTGAATTTAGGTCCTTTTGTTCACCTGAAAAGAGCTTCAAGATGAAAACAATGAGGTGGAAGGCATATTCAATCACTAGCTCGTAGTGGGTACCAAATATTTCCCTCCTTATTTTGTTTCCACAATCTTCCATTGGTTTAGTTGCGATTTGCACTCCTCATACAACATGACTTTATCCTCTTTTGATAGCGTGGTGAGAAGTTGTGGCCACACCTGGACCAGCTGTTTGGCATCCTCGCGATTTTCTAAGGCCAGCTGAAGAGCGCATTTCCCGTCATTGCCCTTAGTCCCTATCAGATCCCTATGATTTGGGTTACTAATCCTTCCAGCTATCTTTCCTGGATTATTCGAATAATATTTGTCTAGACATAATATTGAATCCACCTGAGTGATGTCACGTAGCGTTTTTACTGTTAAAACACGATAGAGAGCGTTATAGCCATCCTTATCCCTAGCGTATATATCGCTTCCTCTACTATGAAAGAGGTCTAGATAAAACATCTGATCAGTTCTTATGGCTATGTGTTCCGCCGTCTCCATATCCTTATTAGGATGGTTGATAAAGCCTTTGAAATTGTTTATTTGATCCGCAAAGTCGAGGAGAATCATCGCCATGTAGTAGTGTGTAGCCGTGACAACGTCAGAGTTTATGTTAAAATTCGTGTCACTATCGGATTCATAGACAGTGTCATTGTTAATGAGAAAATTAAATTCCAACATCCATTGCAATATTGTATTGTGGGTGTCAGGGTCTTGCCATCTGAGTAGTAACTCTGGCCATCCATTGAGAGAAATGTAGTGTTGGAATAAGTCCGCATCCTTAGCCTTGATAGCGCCTTTCACTAGCTCAATGTCGAATTTGCTAGAGTCAGTACATGTAATATTGTGCGGATTTACGATGAAGGTGAGTCCAGCCGTCTTTCTGAGACAATTTTCAATTGTTTCAACAACATTCTCCAATGACGACTTTGTTCTGGCATGTTGAAGTGCAGATTCCCCTCTGCGGTTAGTGGATATTGCACTTAGCGCTGCTTCCTTGTATTCTGGTCTAGAAAGTATAGAGGATATGATATCCTGATTGCCCTTTTCTATCGCTAGATACAATGCTGTATTGCCCTCGAAGTTCGCTTTATCACGGCATGCTAATAATTTTACTAGCTCGGCATTTCCCACCTCCACCGCAAAATGAAGTGGAGTATTTCCCTTATCTGACCAGTTATGTGTCTCAAGGGACCAATTCTGCCCTAATATTAGACTTAGGTATGTTTTCATTGGATTGATAAGATTGTGGTCTGACATCGGGCGGAGTGAGCTATTTATCACTTATCACCTACATACGGGGTACCAGAACTCTAATTATACCTTAGCCAAGATTACCTGAAATATACAGCCAATCTAGAGGTCGTTACGTACAACCTGTCAAATAACCCAGATTACAAACGAGGCTTTACGCCCAACCAGTAGAATTGTTACAGGTTAGTCCCGCCTAATATTCACTATATGGACATGGATCAAACAGAAAACACAACATAAGGAAAGAAAGTTAGACAACAGGATTTTGTTGTACGAGTTTATATAAAAAAGGGGAATGCTCATGCTGGGCTGGGTTCGGCGCCGGATATCCATAGACACCACATGAGTGCCAAGGCATGAAGTCCTGTTAAGGGGCAGATCAGTAATCGGAATGAACCTTCGACATTTGGGAATGACTTCGAGCTGTCAGGCTGCGCTCCAGCGTCCTGGGTGCAGAAGCGAATGAAATCGATACAGATTCTACAGTGAGGGCTTCGTCCGAACCACATCAATATGAGGTCAGCTCATAACAAGAATCAACTCTCTGTGCTCTCATAAATCGATCGATCTTACGTAACGCCACCACATAATTAATCTATATTTGAATCAGTTCGATGCTGAACCGCCTTATTATAAATTACTACTCAGATGGAAGAGTAAATTCTACCCACACTAATCACATTACTTATCAAGCTTAGGAAAATATGTCTTATATCAAACAAGAAGATCTCATTGAGGCTGCCAGAGTACTACGGAATGGACATGCACGAGTAGTACCTAACTCACTAGTTTTACCCGAGCCAAAAAAGGCAGTCGCAGACACATCAAAAGATGGATATGATAAAGGAGATGGCATATTGGGAATCTTGCGAAATATTTGGACTCTACCAGGATCATGGAGGAATGCCGATGGCTATACAATGCTTACGTTGCTGATGTCAAAAGGAGTAACGGTAGAATGGAACCAGTCGGTAAAATACTACCTGACCAAAATGGCCCACGGCGACTGCTTTGGTGCAGGCGCGCACACACATAACTGGTCGAAGGGCGGACATACGCCACTTCATTTTGCGGTAGAGAGTAATGATTGTAAATATGCTGAGGTATTAGAAGGCTTCGAGGATGCACTAAACTTCGATGGTATTACAGCTCTTCATCATGCAATTCTCCTGGGCAAAAAGGAAATCATTGAAAAACTGCTTTCAGCGCCCCATCCAATTGATAAAAGACGAGTGGTGTTATCGGCAATACTAACTAATCGCGAGGGAAAATCTGCACTTCAACTTGCCAGAGACAAGAAACTTCAGAATGTTGTTGAAACAATTGAAAAATATGCCGGAGAATTTCGCGATTGCGCTTTCGTCCTTGACCAATTCTCTATTGATCGGGTGCAAAATGCTATCACGGATGGGGGGGTAGACTTATTCCGACACTACGTTTATCGTTGGCCAAATGACTGCCTTGGGTGGAGAGAAAAGGAAACTGAAAATACAATATTGCAATGGATGTTACGTAACACGCATAATATCCATGACATTGTGTTTGACAGTACACCCTACTACATGGCGATGATTTTGCTCGATGTGGCGAGCCAGGAACCTTACAAAGAGAAACATGGAGGCTTTCTTAACTATACCAATAAGAAAAAGGAGACTGCGGAACATATTGCCATAAAAACTGGGCAATATGAGTACTTGGATCTGTTTCATAGTAGAGGAAGCAATATATACGCCAAAGACAATATGGGCAATAACGCTTTGTACTGTTTCTTATCAACAGAAAATGGTCTGTATGACGGTGGAGATGCTCCGTATCTTGATTCGATATTGTGTTTAGACAGGTATTATCTGGGGAACCCGGGCAAGATAGCTGGAAGCTGTATAGAACCAAAAGACGGGGATTTGATTAACGGTTCTGACGACAAATATGCTCTTGAGCTGGTATTAACAAAGTACAACGATGCCAACGCTGATGTCAATGCTAATGTCAATGCCGATGCTGACAACAATGACGATGATGATGACGGTGCCCGTGTGGCTAAGATGCTAGTCCAGATGTGGCCTGAATTCCTGACCAAACTCCCAAAAGCAAAATATAAGGAATTATGGGAAGCACAGAAACTGACAGAAAAGAAATTAAAAAAGGTTTTGTATACGGGTATGGACCCCCTTTGGTATAAAATAGTAGGAGAAATATTTGTTGGGAACCAGGACAAAAACTTGGCTGTTGAACTTCTAGACCATCCTGTGCTTCCTAGTTTAGGCTTGAAGAATTACACCAATTCACCATTACATTGGTTTGTGAAGGACTATAATACATACATGGGTGAAGAAGAGAACTTCCTGCTGAGTTTTAAGGATGTTGACATGAACAGTACGGACTTCTATGGGAAAAACATCATATTCTACGCGGTGGAATACCGTGCCTTTGAATTACTTAAACTCGTCATAAATCTTGGTGCGAGTGTGGGGCCTAACGACATATCTCGTGCGTCCGAAAAACAGGACTTCGAGATGGTGGAATTTCTTATACGCGAGCTGGCTAAAAAAAGCAAAATAGAAATTGGAAAAGGTTCTGTATAAAGGTATGGACCTCATTTGGTACAGTATAAAACAGTGGGAGAAATATATGTGGGGAACCAGGACAAAAACTTGGCTATTGAACTTCTATACCATCGTGTGTTTCCTAAATGCTGAGTAAGTTGTAAGACCGTACAGTATACAACTCATGTTTATACTTCCTCCGAGTCGAATTCTGTCGACTAATAGAAACTCAGGAAGCCATCTCTCGTGCAAGAGAGTATCGAGGAAGCACTGTAATCCACATTTATGATACGCAAATCTTATCCTATTCCCATTTCCTAACTGGCTTAGAGTTCCAATATATTTTGTTGGATATTTGATATGCTAATCTCAATCCGGATGTACTTAGTAATCTTTGAATCTGTAAAGGCTGACTCCATCGCGAGATCCAAGGAGCCAATCTGAATGCGCGGAAGATTGATGCTAGCGATCTAAGGCAGGAATACGAGCGAGTGCCTAAGGCCTTGGCGGCAAGCGCGCGATCTAGATATTCCTTACCCCTCTCGGCGCCTGACCGGTACATGAGCGCTTGTGTATATAGAGCGTAGATCTTCGCGGGGAATCCTCGAAAATCAAGCGATTATTCTCGTACAACCTCACTCGTACCATCTGCTATTGTTGCTCTATCTTAGTTCGTATCTCTGTGTGGATTCCTTAGTATTCGCTTCTTCAAGTGTTCCGTAACCCAACCCTCGTACTCGAACTATCGTTCAACCTGGTCATTATAGAATCCTCGGAAAAGCAACATATCCGCGAGAACAAGAGCGCCAAAAAGCAGACTAGATTCTGGAGTCATGATTGTTATTTATTCCGTAAATCCGTGATATTTCGCCACTACGTTTTGTATATAAAGAGGATCAGGATGTGTATCTAGAGGGGATTTTAGAGGACGTGCAAATCAGAGTCAATTATTCCTCACCCAAATTGTACGCTCCTATCGGAGCCTTACCCCGTTCGGACTAGTACCAAAAGATTCCAAAGAAACTAAAACGTAATACCGTGGTTTTCACCAAAAAGGACTAGCTATCAGTCAGATAGACAAAGAGAGCTCCAACTTATATAGCTGTAATTAATTATAATATATTTCCACACTATAGTACATGACTAACCGTATTGGTCAACACATGTGTATTCGTAATACGATGCCCCTTTACGTCGCGTGCCGCTGGATCCTGCCGCAAGATCTGAGAGATATGGAAGCAAACAAGAGTAAATTCTATTGGTCAGGCGCAGAGCCCTATATTCAAGCGATGAGAGAGTATTCTAACGAGATCATGTAACTCGAGAATTGGCTGAGTATCATTATTATTATTAATCATGTCTATTGCCCATACCCAGCGCTATAGGCTATGACAGACCACGAATTGGCAGAGTACTGGCGACGTGTTTGGACTTGCTATGCACTTAAGCTCTTATCATTGAGGCCATTGTACTTTTTTCTCTTCTGCCGCTTAGCGATCATTGTCATCACTAGAAGTAAAAGGTTACCGTAAGAATCAAGTCAGCTAGAGATCATAGCTACGTACCTTCTTCCCTCCATGAGGGCATGTGATCTCTGCGATAATGACTGGCTAGCTTCTTAGATGTACTGAATGGTCGACCACAGGTCTTAAGTGGACAACGGTAACATTTTCCTGCATTCTGCGACGCACCCTCTGCGCTACCCATCAGCGAAGAACCCCCGGTCGGGCTTCCGAGCGACCGTCCCCGAAAATACCTATGATAGAATAATAGAGGTAGTTAGCACAAACTATCATATCTGATTAGAGCGTATTTACATACTCCTTTGTGTAGGTGTCCCCGGGTCTTTGTAGATGGAGCACAATCTGGCAAAGTGTTGTATTATTTGGAGCCTTCTCGTCGGTACTAACATGGTTAAGGAGTGAGCTGATGGGTATGCGGTGACACATGGCTTATAACTGGTAATATGGTAACGTAGAATAAGGTATGTGAGTCAATATGTGATGCATCTTATTTTTGGATTGCGACGCCAGCGACGGGCTGACGCTGGACTCGCAGTGGAGCTATCATCGGAATATCACGTTTTGCAGGGAAGTTGTTGGAACGTAATACGCTATTCCTAATTTGGAATGAGTCAAAGAATCTGCCACGATACTAATGTGAAGAAATTTCGAGAATTGGATTCACATACTGACGAGGTATAGGCATATCCCATCAGTTCTAATGTGCCTATATCTAGAAAGTTCGACTAGACGTCATCTCATGATTTAGTTTGTACAGAACCTCATATATAAAAGAGATCAACATTCCCTAGAAGTTTTGTATTAGAGAGTGTGCAACAATATATCGAAATTTCCTAGCTTCTGTCGGATTAGTCGGTTTATTCCAGGCCAATCCTGAAAAGTGTTTTACTAGGATCAAAGAAAAGAAGTGACTAGCAAGATTGTATATGTATGTTCTCCTCTCTCTCTATCCATTAGGTTTCAAAGCCAGGTCTTTTATAGACACTTTTGGCGGAGTGATTTGTGAGTCATCAAGAGGGGTAAATTTTGAAGGCTATAAGATAGGGCTTCTGATTGTTCACTTCCTTTTACTGCCTCCGGATATCCGAATTAACTAACGTAGTTCACTAGTGAGTTGGCCACACTAGTGAGTTGGCCACTTTTACCCGAATACGCGTTCTATACTGATCCTTCACAACTCAACGCGTCAATATGCCACCAATTCGCAATAAAAATCAAAAAAATTCTGCTGAGCAAGAAGGACGAATCCTATTAGCTATTTCTGATTTAAAGAATGGCAGAATACGCTCTGTACGGAAAGCAGCAGAGATCTATAATATCTCACGGTCAACTCTTCAAAATAGAATCAACGGCATGCCATATCGAGCTGAAAAACGCGCCAATAACCATAAATTAACTCAATCTGAGGAGGATTCGCTTGTCAAATGGGTTCTTGATTTAGATCGACGTGGATTACCTCCCCGGCACTCTCTCGTACGAGAAATGGCTAATTATATGCTTTTACAACGTGGCAATCAACAAGTTGGTGAGAATTGGGTAACCAAGCTGACTAAACGCCGTCCAGAGATCGATTCGAAGTTCTCACGAAGATATAACTATGAACGCGCTAAATGCGAAGATCCGAAGATAATCCGGGAACATTTTGATCGCGTACGAGCTGCTATATTGGAGTATGGGATCTTACCAGAAGATATTTACAATTTTGATGAGACTGGCTTTGCTATGGGACTCTGCTCATCTGCAAAGGTTATTACTGGAAGCGATCGATATGCACGGCCAAAGCTTTTACAGCTTGGGAATCGAGAATGGGTGACTGCAATTGAGGCAACAAATTCAACTGGATGGGCTGTTCCTTCGTACATTATTTTCAAGGCAAAGAAAAACGTACGATTAGGCTGGTTTGATGATCTTCCAAGTGATTGGAGGATCAATATTAGCGAGAATGGTTGGACTACAGATCAAATAGGATTAGAATGGCTTACAACCCAGTTTATTCCCTATATTAATGATCGTACAATGGGAAAATATCGAATGTTGATTCTTGATGGCCATGGAAGCCATTTGACTGCAGAATTTGATCGTATATGCACTGAGAATAATATTATTCCAATCTGCATGCCACCTCATTCTTCACATATATTACAGCCTCTTGATGTTGGCTGTTTTGCTGTTTTAAAACGGCATTATGGGCAGCTTGTTGAGCAACGAATGAGGCTTGGATTCAACCATATCGACAAAATGGACTTTTTAATGGCATTTCCACAGGCTCGTACGGTGGCATATAAAGCTCAAACTATTCGGAATAGCTTCACAGCCACTGGATTAGTGCCTTTTAATCCGGATCGAGTTATTCAACAACTTAATATTCAATTAAAAACACCAACACCCCCTCCGAGTCGATCAAGCAATACACAATCATCTTGCTTACAAACCCCTCAAAATATACGCCAATTTGTACGCCAGTCAACTACAATTACCAAACGTATAAATGAGCGTACAGGAAGCCCAAATCAAGTGATTGATCAAGCAATTATGCGGATGTCAAAGGCCTATGAAACGACTATGAATGATCTTGTACTCGTACAGAAAGAAAACCGTGATTTACGAGCTGCGCATGGCAAAGAGAAACAAAAACGCCAAAAATCTAAGAAACAGATATCTATTGAGCATGGGATTACTGGCGAAGAAGCTCAAGCGCTCGTACAAGATCAGGTTGAGGCATCTCAAGCTGTTACTACTGCTCCGGGTGAGCCGGAGCTCCCAGCTTCTCAAGGAGTCGTACGCCGCCAATTTCGCTGCAGTGGTTGTGGTGTTGAAGGACATAAAATTAATCGATGTCCTAATCGTACTAGTAGTTAGATTTTTGTATATATTTTTGTATGTGGCTTTGAAAATTGGGATTTGAAATCAATATAGAGTTATTTTCGGGTAAAAGTGGCCAACTCACTAGTGTGGCCAACTCACTAGTGAACTACGTTAACTAGTTAACGTAATCCACAAACGAGCCGCCACTTTTTCCCGAACCCCTACACTATTGATTTCAAAAAAATTCAACAAATCAATATGCCACCAATTCGCAATAAATATCCAAAAGATTTAGTTGAGCAAGAAGCCCGAATATTATTAGCCCTTTCCGATTTTCAGAATGGCAAAATCTCTACAATTGCACAAGCCAGGGATCGGATCTGCCTTGTAGAAGAATGCGTCAACGATAGTATGCGTAATAGAGCAAACATACTTGAAGGCAAATAGAATGCTAAAAATGATGCCCATTGCTGTGTACATAGTTGATTAAACAAGAAAGCGAATCTTTGAATTGCAGACTTTGTATATTCATTATCTCTAGGATTTCGAATTCCGCACCTGATGTTCAATTTATACACAAGCATGCACTGAATACTCTTGACATCCAGCCAATTTTCGAGCAGAGAAATATGCATGTGCCGAAAATAGACTCCTACTCAGTGCTTGAACCCCGTCTCTGTCATGCAGACAACCTGCATACTGACGATACAGATAGTAGACTTTGGAGTCTGTAATAGTAATAATAAGAATAAGAAAAAGCATTTCCTTCCCTGGCCTGGACCCAGATGGATCAGATGGATATATGAGTCTCAGATTTGACTTATCTCCTGCCTCGGAGGTCTATGATTTGCCAATAGAACCAGCATTTTCTTCTCCAATTGCTCGAACTTGAGCACGACTTCACTTGTAGATTGTTTCTGTTCATTGTCAAGCATGCCGATGCTGTAGCAATTGACAAAAAGGTGGCACAGGCACTGTATACTTGAGAAAGTCAATATGCCTTAGTCCACTGACTAGACTACGTAAGTCTACTCCGTTCTTTTTCTTATCCTTCGAAGTAGGTATTCCATTCTCAACTGCATTTTCAACTTGCGGTGAGCGGAAAGAGCAATCTGGCCCTTTTCTAGCTGGTATCAACCTGTATAGCTTCCTTTGACAATCCAGGGAGAGATCCTTTCATGTTGCGGCATGGACCCTTTTATCAGCCAGTAGGATACCCACCTTAGTCAAGAATGACTGAATTCTCCAGAAAGCATGGTGTTATCCTAGGCTACTCAGTGCTCAAACTAGTAAGGATAAGGTCAACACTATGCAAAAACCATCCACGATGCAAGCGCTGGAACAGACCACATCTCAAAGCTCAGAAACGAAGGAAGGAGGAGAGAAGTATGTTAACCCTCATCCTAACTCATATATCTATATTAGTTTCTAATATTCTACAGACCTCCATTCATATTTCTTCCAAAAGGCCAAGCCTGCAATCACTGTAGGAAAGATGAGATCCGTTGTGTGGTTAGCAAAGACAGTGACTCTTGTCTGCGTTGCCAGATGCTACCTGAGCGGCAGTGCTCACATATACAAAAAAACATGGAATCATCAATCTTTGTTCAGCGACAATTAAAACCCCCCAGAACAACGTTCAGTGAGGAGGAGGATATTCTCTTGAAAAGACTAAAAGACGATGGAATGGAATACAAAGAAATGGTTAAATATTTTAGAAATCGGACATGGAACTCACTTCGGCAGCGGTATCAGAGACTCCCGTCTACAACAGTACATAGAGTATAGTCACTACTAGTCCAGTTCTATCCAATCTATATTCAATCATACTTACATCAATGCATACCAGCGCCCTTTGATTTGATCAACAATCTCAGGTGGTGGCTTACCCGCTTAAGAGTAACGGTGACTTTCATCTTTGTGATGTTGGCCTGGGAGCTAATCCACTTATGCAGTATTCCCAAATAATAAAATAGTGTAGGCAATGTATGTTGATGAGGATGGACATGCGTTGGCCCCCTGACTCCCTCTTGAGCTGCGTCAAACCAGTCCGAATAAAATGAATTCGGCCTATACATGATGTCACTTTCGTTATCGTTAAAGTAACCATCCCATCTTTGTTGTTCGTTATCTTGTAACGAAGAGACTGGCACTGACGTGATAGAAACGTCAGTGATAGAATAGTCAGATCCTACTAGTCTCAGTCCGTCATTTTCAAGAGGCCTGAGAAGGGCTTGTTGTGGTCTGGCAATAGTGCTGCTTAGTTGTTCGTCGAGAGACTAAATGCCGAGATTAAAAACGCAACGGTATATATTTAGGCAATATTACCTGGGATAGGCGAGGAGATGCGTTTAAAGAGCTGGTCCCAAAGCACGCACGGATCATTTCACAACGATAAGACAGCATGACGGCAAAAGGAAAAGGTTTGATGATAGTCTGACACGAAATCTGGACGGTCTGTATTGAAATGGTGCAAGGCTGAATGAGTTCTACCTATGAACGCTTTGGAGGTTTCGGCTGATCAGGCTTCTTTACGCCAGTAGTATCGTATGCTCCTCTACCCATGTCGAGCAGGAGAACCGATTAATCGCGCTCCCAGGGCAAAAGCCTTGGGTTGGCCATATTAGAATGCGGTGAACCTGGGACAAGGCTGACATTTTTATACATGCTTTTCGTGCTGACGAAGTCAACTGGGATTATAATATCTCAATCTGTTCTGTGTATAATTGCATATCGATGCTGAATTGTGGGCGGTCTGCGAGTTGAGTGCAAAACGGTCTGCATCTTGCGTGCAAATGGCCCACCAGTTGCACCACCAGCTGCACCGCAAGTTGAATCGCAAGTGAGTCGCAATTTGAGTTGCAGTTCGATTTGCAAGTTACACCACAAGTTGCATTGCAAGTTGTGTGGTGGCAGCAAGCAGAACTTTGTGCCTGCTAACCAGCTATTCCATACATATAAATAGGCCGTTGAAGAACCAAAATGTTTTGCCAAATTATACCTTATATTTCATCCAAACCTAATCCTTAAATAGTACATTTGTTCGACCATAATCTCTTTGTTCCTCAACGAAAAATGTCCGCTGGCGAAGTTCCTATATTGGTTGACTCCTGTGAATGGAGAACTATGAAGCGACAAGATGGGTCTACTTATCGGGCCAAAATTTCCGATTGTGGGCAAACTACTTGCAAGTGGTCGTCCAGTTATATTCCCCCTGAGCAGTAGAGAGGTTCGTACTGAGCCAGTTCCCAGTTCACCACTCAACTACTAATCGATTCTTGAAGCTCGCATCTCAAAGTTACCATACGCTTCGTGGCAGAGAATCGGTATCCGAGCACTACTAGCACAGTATGCTGTTAGACGCGATTATGTTCGATCAGAACAGTCAAGAAACAAGTATTTAGCGGATAGTACAGAGTACAAGAAGGTCAATTGTAACTAGTGGGTTTATAGTGGTTAGATTCGGCGTGTTACAAAGCGGGTTACACTCCTTTGTTATAGAATGACTCAAAGTCCATGTCCATTAAGTAGTTAATACTACAACAACTGTGCTATTACTACGTAGTTTTCAGTAAACTGAATACGTCCCACTTTAGTGCGAGAAATCGAGGCGGTGGTGCATTAGTTAGTTAAAACTGACCATTAACTAGTTATGATGGTTGGTTAACTAAACAAAGTTTAGTTAATCCCTATAAAGTTTTCCCAAATGTCCGGCGGCAGGATTAATCGCCGCACCCGTGCCGCCAAGTTGGCGGCACGGGTAGCACTTTTCTCTAATTAGTTTAGCTCGGCTTGGAGTCAGCAATATTCTTCAGCAAGCTGGGTTCTCTTTCCTCGAAGTTTCAGGAACTCCCTCCATTGACAATTAACTCGCTGGCATCGACCATAGACTATGGAAATTAAAGAACAATCCGAAATATTCATCGAAAAGGGCGATGACTTTGTCTTTGATCACATAAAACTCATTCTAGAAGAGAATGGCAAATATTTTCACGCTGAAATCAAGCATCGTCTGTCTCCTTCGCTCGTAATCGATGTCGATACGTTACGTCCGGTACCTATTCGAGACTTTTGGCCGCCGTTTGACCGATCTTTAACGCGAGTTCCGAATACGCTGTCAAAGGATTATTATATAAAGCGACCGACTCTGTTATATTACAAGGATGACCAAGCACAAGACCTGAGCACACAAATTCTTGACGAAGCAAACGTATGCGAAATTCTACGAAATAATCCGCATCCCAATATTGCTGAATACTTGGGATGCATCGAGGAAAATGGTCGCATAAAAGGCTTATGTTTTGTTAAATATGCAACGGACCTCATTCAAAGGGTGCAGACTGGGAGAACTCTGGATATAGATTTCTATATTCAAAGCATCGAGAGTGGAATACGTCACCTACACCGATTGGGGCTCATTCACAACGATATAAACCCCAGAAATATTATGATCAGTGAAGATGATAGACCTATTATCATCGACTTTGACTCATGCAAACCAGAGGGAGAAGAACTTGGGAAGCCAGGTACTCCTGGGTGGGTTATCGAAAGCGCAGAATACGCTAGGCAGGAGAATGACTTCTTTGGTCTTTCCATGATCAAAAAGTACTTGATGGACAATTGCGCCTAGATTCCGAATGGTGTATGGGCATGAATGGATCTAATTTAGATACGCCACGTAGCAGTCTGCCTCAACCCGATAGGATGAGGCAGGGCGCCAAATGAAAGTATTTCATTGGCCTGTTCGCAATCCAACAATCTAATGTAGGCCAATCAATAACTAACATCACCAACTAACTATTAGTGTGCCAAGGTGCACTTGTGCTATATATACTCCAACCATTTCCTCGTCCCGACGCAAGTTGAGATTCATTTTGCTCCCTAGTTGAGATACGTTTTGCTATCATTTTGAGTACATCACGTTGATTAATCCAGTTATGCCACGTGTCTGGTCTGATGCCGAGACGGTTCTCTTCGGGATAAACACTAAATTAAATGCCCAAACACGTATTTTGGAGAAAGCCCAGCTTTTTACTCAGTTAAGGAAACAGCTAGAACACGAAAGGGCAAAGCTCGAGACTCTAAATGCGAGGTCAGAAATACGCGTATCGAAAAGGGAGTTATTCAAACGAAATGTCGAACAAGTTACTCGAGGAGGTCTTGCTGCCAATATTCTTCTCCCTTTGGTTCAGATAGAATCAGCGAGACACGTTCAGCTCTTCATATTGTGCTGCTGCAAATTCAGTGACTCTTTGTGCGGCCAGATCAAGGAAAATGGTCTCATTAAAGATTTTGCAGATCTGGTCATTGATGTTATCAAGAGCTGTTCCATGCCGCCAGCAGTTGTGAAAAAATTTGTTACGATGATTGAAGAAGTGTGTGGTAACAGTCCAACTAGCCGGGTACTTTCAGGTATGTACGAGCGGTGAATAATTTTTGCCTCTTAACAGTTTCTTATCGGTATATAGATGCTTGTAAACTATTTTCTCGAAATACGACAGATCGCTTAATTAACCCCGATGATCATGTTGAGGTATTGGCGCAAGCCCCGAACGCAATGCAAAGTCATGGGGAAGGTCAATATATGGAAAGCCAAAGGAAGAGGCCCAGACAGGAACTTCCATCTGTGCAATCTTCAGATGTTTCCACTGGCATTCCAACTGGATTTTCGCTACCTATCATCAACTCACTATCGAATGGAGATGGCCTCCCAGCAATATTTACTGGTATTCCCATCCATTATACATGTTTACAGTGGATAAAGCAATAATTTTTGTTGCATTTTAGGCTTACAAAGCTTACCGAGGGAATTTGGAATACAAAGCACTGCCATAGACTCCTCACAAAGTCCATCTGCTATGGAACAAGGTACTCATCCTAATCGTGTTTAAGATTCACGTGTTGCTTACTACATTTGCAGCTGCTTTAACAGGTGATGTCTATGAGCTCACCATTTTCGACCTTCTGGTGATTGCTGTTTCACATCAGATAGTGGATCAAATTTGTTTGACTGATCCTTACAACCGGCACACACCCCCTTTTGTAACTATAAAAATATCGAATGACTTGACAAATTATTTCACACCGCAACGCAAACGAGTTCATTTCTTCGTCTCGACGTAACCGACTTTAGGCAATCCAGATGCTCTAAACCACCACCCGTTTTTCCACAATACGATTGTATATAAGCTCTCTTGGCTGCCTGCACTGTCGTCTATAAACACACCATCAATATACTTTTCATCCCTGAATATTCGAATCGCACCTGGGCTATCGACGAGGTTGACTACTATTGCGACTGTATCTTTGGGAGGAAGTACCCGCGTTCCTATGGAAGGAGTCTCCCAAGTAATGTCGCACTTGAATTCTACCTGTACATAAGTTAGCAAACTCTGGTACCCTGAGAGACTTCATGCTATACCTTCTCTTCGACAACCTCCAAAAGCTCGTCAGGCTTAATCCTCGTGGTAGATATCTTAGTTATAGGCTCGACCATGTTGGAAATGTATATGACGTTAGATATATCTAAAGCCTCAATCCAATTAGTACAAGTGGTCAGATGCGATATATAGTCAAGCAACCATCAGTAGCCTTTATATGAAAAGAGTAAAGTATGATTACTTCATACCGTCTTGACAAAACTCAGCTCCTACAAGCGGGTTACACCACAAAGGGAATTTTTATTAACACCTGATCGTTTGATGATTAGCTAAAATTCAGTGCTCTGCTCATGTCATCAGTATCTTCAAGGATGAAAGCTGCTGCGTTATTTTGCATTTAAGGTGCTTGAGGCATGACTTACAAAATAAAAGCGTAAGTACAGAGTTAATCTTTGTAGATTGATGTATATGAGGTTATAGCGATCGCGGAAAAAAAAGCAAAGGAGAGATCGGGTAGTGATGCGTCATGATGCCTACCTAAACCGTTCTTAGTTACGTTCTCCAAGCTACGGAAAAAACATATTCCACCACGCTATACTCGTTATGTTAGATTGAAACGTGCGAGAATCTAGCATCTCTGTGAAAATAAGCTCATCTGATACCAATAGAACTGAGAAAAAGGGTAATACTGAACCTTGAACTAAATGTACCACCAGATATGCACGTTCTTCCTCGTATCAAGGGTATTGGCGATCAGTGGTTCCTTTCCCCAGAACGGTCAGCCCGCATCTTCATCCAGGGTTACGCTTCTTATCAAAGCGGACAGATGCATGGACAGTTAGCCGGTTAAAGAGAGACTATGACATGCATTTTTTGCGCTGCACGGTCCTCTACAAATAGCTGACTATGCCCGCGCAATCTCTTTCTTGTTCTATTCAAATTTTGCACCCTTCTACGATTGATCTGACAAGGCAGTGCAAACAAATTAGTAACTTCTCTGACCATGAGATTTTGATATCATATGCTGATGATTAAGCATAGTATAATGTGTTGGTTCCTACGAAAGACCCCAGCAAATTTTCCTGACTGTACAGGGAAGGCACAAAAAAATTGCATTAACTTCGACCCTGAAGAAGACTATATCTAATGGTGCATTCCGGCCGAACAGAGAGGTTCTGAATGTCCTAATCCGACCCCGACAACACAAACAAGCTCCACTAAACGCAGAAGGAACTGTCCTAGACATCGCAGAACCGCTGATCCAGGGAACAAACAAGAGTCGGGAGGCGAGGCGGGTAGTGGAGACGGCGTAGCTGTGAGCGTTGGGGCTTGATGTGTGGCTTGGCAATAATCACGTGCGGAGTCCATCCGAATCTGTGACACGTATCAGCCTTCTTATCAAATACATCTTTTAGTTTAACATGCTTCAACTGTTTATTATCATCGACTTGAAAATGGCAGCATCATTATTCATGGACCTGGATGGTATGCCTATTCTGGACAGCGATGTTATAGGATATGGAGGATCGGGGGTTGTGGTCCGTCGAGGAAACTTGGCCATTAAAATGCCCCTGAGATATCCCGGGAGTTCTGAAGAAGACGTGCAATCAAATATCAAGGTTCTTCAACACGAGCAAGAAGTCTATCGTCGGTTCAATTCTTTTACAGAAGACCTTATTGACCGTATTGTCCCGTGCAGTCGGCTGTGCACGAATGCCATTGAACTGGGCTTCATGGAAAATGGAGATCTCCGCAGTTATTTACAGAAACACCAGCCATCCCGCACTGTCCAAATTGCGTGGTTCCGCCAGATGGCTCGAGCACTTGAGCAGATCCATGGCAAATACGTACTACTGTGTGATATTGCAAGCCGCAACATTCTCCTCGACTCTGATTTATCCATCAAAATCTGTGATTTCAGCGAGGCGTCTATCCTACCATTAGGAACTACTATGGAAACGGTGAATGATCAAGGATTTTCGGTACAGACAGATATTGGGTTGCTCGGGGCGGTGATTTACGAAGTTATAGCTGGTCAACAATGCAAATTCAATCTTTTCGATGGTCCTGCTGCTAGCCAAGCTACCTTCCCCCATCGAACTTCGCTTCCTAGTACGGCTTCACTGTGGCTTGGACATATCATCGAAAAGTGCTGGACTGTAGGAGGTTTTCAAAATGCGCATGCCTTGTCACAGGCTCTCGAATCTGCCGATTTGGAGCAGGAAAATCATTCCACAAACAAGAAATGTACAACGCTGCTTGAGTACTTCAGAGGCGAGACGGAAACTTCAATCATTGTATTAGCAATAACTTTTAGTGCCTTGATAGCTGTCACAACCTGGGTTAGAAGACAAACATAGACAGCGCTCGTGTTTGTGTGTCAGGAAATAAACATATCATCTAATAACCGGTCATTCAGTAATAATTTGCCTAGTATATCATCGCTAGCGTTGCGGTGAAATAAAGATGAGAAAGTTGCATGTCTCGACAACATAAGAGCAGCTTCATCCCATTATTAGAAGTCTATATCTCATTCGAGCGTATCACAAGGGTCTCGTTCTCTAGGTATACTGATGATGGGCTAGAGAGAGTGATATTGAGAAGTCTAACTCTCGGAACGTGAATATCAAACCTAGCGCGTTTCGGCACTGAATATCAGTTAGTCTAACGCGGCACGTGCGTGCCGCGTATATATGTAGTTAGCTACTTCCCGTCCCTCTTACTCTTGGGGGGCAGTCATCAATATCAGGAATTCTATACCATATTGATCAGGCTCGTCAGCTCGTCGGAATAGCTGTTCTACGTGACTAGTGCTAGCGACCTAGACGTAGATAAACCGACACTGATCAGTGGCCGCAGATCAGACATTTATCTACGAGCCCCTATTCCAACGTTAGTGCAAGCGTCCTAACAAAATACACCTTTTTCACACCCTACAGTATACGCTCACTCGTATATCGACTCACCGATATATCCGACCCCATATATCGACCCTTTGTGAACTCTTTACTGAGTCTTGCGAACCTACGAACTCCCTGTACGAACCTACGCACGAAGGACTATTCCTGTACGAATTCTACGCTTAGATCCCCCGTATAAGCCTACGTCACGAACCTACGCTAGAGGCCTACGCGAGAAAACTCTCGGTATTAGCACTAGGTAGGAATCAACGTAGTGAGCCTACGGATTCGGACTTTCCGTCAGAATCGACCTGCAAGAATCTAACGTACGAAACCTACGTACAATCTACGGTGTGTCGACCCACGCACCGAACCACGCACCAAATCTCTGGATTTGGTCTCGCAGATACGTTAGTGTAAGCGTCCTAACGAAAACCTTCCCTTTCGACACCTCACCTCATTCCTTCGATATCCGACACATATCGAGCCTCAGATCAACTTTGATTCAAGCCAAGAATCATCAAAAATGGCAGGACAAAGTGGCAACGATACCGACCAGGCGATGACAGAAAAGAAGACACTCGACGCTACCGTCAAGGCGAAGATAAAAGAATATACGAACACATACGATTCACGTCTGTTAAGAGCGTTCAAACAAGACTTCGATAAGTGGACTTTGAATAACTTCAATACCGTGTCCGTCACCGAACTCGGGAAACTAGTTGATTTGCTTCAAACCAACGGTGTATATGTTACCAACGATGAACAGGATGATGAAGCTGAAAAACTCTATACTCTACTCTCTACAGAAAAATATCGCCCATGGACTAAGGAGGAAGTCATTCGCCACCTCAGACAAGGCAATACAATTGAGTCGAAGGTACTCAATGATCAATTCGAAACAGTAATCAATACATATAATCAACCCTCAAACTACGGCACTAATGAGGCACAAAACCAAACTGGAGAGGGACCCCTCACAAGATCTCGAAGTCAACAACAACTCCAATATCTTTCACCCCGGCAACAAGATACGATACACCACAAGATCAAAGTCAATGGGCGCGAATTGAGCCAGAGCCATCAGATGAAGTCCAATAAGCCCCAAATTTGGCTATCTTCGCACCGTCAACATAATCCATTTCTCAGGCACTTGTTCAACTCACGAAGATATATTCAGACAACCAAAAGTACGGTGGAAATGAGGATTCCTACAGGTCAAAGCTTCGAATCTTTAACGACTACTGTGAACGTCTATCCCTACCAAAGAATGCGTATAAACTCGCTTTCCCAACAATGCTCAAAGGCCAAGCCTTAGATTTTTACTATGACAACAAGGAAATATAGGAAGCAAGTGACCGTGACCCCGTTGAAGGAATTCGTGCCTATTTCGAAGGCCCAGAATATTATCGAACCGTACTGGATAAGTGGAGCGGAATTTCACTTCAAAATACAATCGATGAGAACCCAGAGAAGACATTAAAAGCGTGTCTCAACATGATGCTAATAGAACTTGCAAGTTTATATAACCGCCTAGCTCTAAAACTACGCAACGAAGAATTTTACCTTGCAAGACTTTTACAGGCAACTTGTACACATCCAGCATGCCAACTTGCAACTTCAAAGCAATAAGATACAGTTCCTGGACTAACCCGCGATTTATAATCAGGTGTCAGCCAGTACGAGGACATGATAAAAGCCACAAATAGGCACCGCACTGCAAACCCCAGCACCAACACATACTTTATAGATTGACAGTATTACAACCAACAGTCACGCTCGCCCTCTCAAGGCCATTCACCACGACAGCGCTCCAATCAAAGAGGCAGGAAAAAGTACTTCGTATGTTAAAAACCTGACTGCTAGTTAACACGTCACACGCCCAAGGAAAGAGCGGATTCGAAACGCCATTATTTGGACCACTTTAACAAGCGTATTGATCAATATATTACTGACTACAAGGGCACAGAGGATGACGATGAGGAACTGCCAGAGGAACTCTTATCAGCTGCTAATAACCTTATTCTGACAGACGATTACAAATCCAGACCTACACACAATGCCTTGTCAACCCTGTTCACAGCCACATTCTTTATAATGTACAACGACAACGACACGAACCATGGTCCGTCAATAACCATGGAACTAGTAAACCGTTCCGCTTCGCACTGGATTGCCTCACTATTCCTGAAGCCTGACTTGGAAACTAATTCATACAAAACCAACAAAGCAACTCTTAAGGTTCTGACCCCCAAGTCAAGTCACGTCTATCTAAATGAGGGCCGCTATTCGTCAGAAAGCTTTAAGGGTATTGTTATCGACACTAGCGCCACGCAACTCTCTACAGCTGGATATGGGTAATACCTCGCCTACAAGAGAATCGTCAGAAATATTGATATTAATACTACAATGGCTGGCACGGCAACAGTTCAATTTGGACCTGGTGATCCCTATCAGTCAATTGGGTCAATCGATGTGCCTACACCTATCAGTACTATACGGTTCTATATCCTAACATCCACAACATCATTCCTAATGTCGCTATATGAACTCGATAAACTAAAACTTTATTTTGACAATACCTGCAATCTCCTTGTCAATAAGAAAACAGGAAAAACAACACCAGTTATTCGTCAGTTTGGCCATCCGTTTCTTGTATGGGATTACTCCTACCACACTTACTTACTTGCTTTATTCGACCACAACCCCTGCCTCCTCACCAATGCCAAATTACACCGCCTACACTGCCGATTTAGACACCCTTCAACTAATAGACTTCGCCGGGTACTTACACGTGCGGGCCACGAAACCAACAAGGAAGCAATTGAGTACATTCGCAAATTCTGCCACCATTGTCAAATGTACGACAAGTCACCTGGACGATTCCGATTCACACTGCATGAAAATGTTAACTTCAATCACTCTATCATTATTAATATTATGTACCTTGATAGAGACCCTGTACTTCACATTGTCGACGAAGCAACACACTTCAATGCCGCTGCATGGCTGCCAAATATCTCAACAAAAGTCGTATGGGACACACTCCAAAAGATCTAGATTAATATATACCTGGGACCCCCAGACTTGGTTATCACAGACGCTGGAAAGACCTTTACAAGCAGGGAATTCTCACAATCTGCTTTAGCTGTAGGCACAATCATCAAAACAGTACTAGTCGAAGCACATTGGTCAATTAGAACCGTTAAACGACACCATGCCATGATTCGCCGCTCATATGAAATCATTAAAAAGGAATTACCAGATTTACCTAAAGACGCTGCCCTACAGATGGCTGTCAAGACTGTCAACGATACAGCCAGCCCAGATGGTTTAGTCCCTACGCTTCTTGTTTTTGGAGCTTACCCACGAATAGTAGAATATAACCCTCCTGCACCTACAATTACATAACGTGCCGCTACACTCAAAAAGGCAATGACAGAGGTCCAAAAACTACACGCCGAACGACAGATTCGAGATGCCCTCAATACGCGTAACGGTCCTGCGTCTACAGCTGTATATCTTCTGCCAATAAATTCGGATGTACGCGTATGGAGGGAAGGAAACACCAGCTATGCAGGAGAGTGGAAAGGCCCATACAAATTATTAAGTGTTGAGGGCGAGACGTGCACAATTCAGTTTCCAGATGGACCAAAGCAATTCTGTACAACTGTTGTGAGGCCATATTACAAGGCACCGGATGAGAACGACCAAGACACCAATTCGGAGCATACAAATGAAGAGCCTGAGGCACCTTTAGGCACAAACTCAACACCACCCACACCTCAAGACGACGAGCCAGACACATCTACACCCCAGGCAAGGCCTGCACAGCGCCCCCAACGAAATCGGCAATTACCAGCCCGATATCGAGATGACCTCATACAATCGGTATTCGCTCAATTCGACCAATCACAAGAGAAAGAGATCAACGGCCTATTAGAAAATGGTGTATTCGAAGTGGTCAAAGTAGACGATATCCCAAAAGGCACCTGAATCTTCAATTCGCAGTTCGTCAATGAGATAAAGAATCAGGGTACTGACAAGGCCTTTGAAAAGTCGCGACTAGTCGTACAAGCCTACAACGACAAAGGGAAAGAGATCGTATTGACTCAATCGCCTATAATACAGCGCTGCAGTCAACGCCTGCTTCTGTGCCTTACAATCTGCATTACCGATACCCATCTTTTTCTACGCGATGTCACGCAAGCCTATGTACAGTCAACTACGCCCCTCACTCGCAACTTTTATATACGACCTCCTCCCGAACTCGTGCACCTGTTCCCTCCAGGCACAATATTGAAAGTTGTCAAGCCTTTGTACGGCATCCCTGAAGCAGGTAATCACTGGTTTCGAACCTATCATATACATCACACGGACAAACTTAATATGACAACATCCACCTACAATCTATGCCTATTGCACTGCATTGACCAGTCACAAGGATTTGGCATTGTTGGCATGCAGACCGATGACACCCTCATCCTCGCCGACAACACTTTTGCGAACCGTGAGGAGAATAAGATTAAACGAGCTAATATTCTTTGCAAACCACGAGAGAAGCTTACACCTTCGAACCCGTTAAAATTCAACGGTGGCCTCATTACGGAGGATGCCCAGGGTATTACCCTTACCCAGGAACGCACTTGTAAGCTTATACGGTCTGTACAAGATCGACATGCGGATACAACGAGTTCCCGAGGCAAGGTCCGAAAGGACGTATCACCGCAGGAACAATATGTGGCTCAACGCGCACTTGGAGCCTACATTGCTTCCGTATCGCAGCCTGAGGCTTCCTTTGATCTATCGTTCGCTGCCCAGATTACAAATCCAGCATATTCTCTTCGCCCAGACTGACTTGTTCGTATAACCCATGAGATGCCGTAACGCTGACGCATCGAGATCAGGCCGAGCAGATACTGAAGGAGTTGGCGCTCACTGTGCTGGTTGGTAAAACACACCGACTTCCGCGGATGGTCGCAATAGCTTTGTCCGGTAATGGAATAGCTGGCTGGCTTCAAAAATAGGAATATCTAAACGCAAGATCCTGCGATTGGCGCGTGTCCACTCAGAAATGGAAGAGCGAAATGCACGAAAACTCGTAGGTAATGAGCATGAGTTACCCCTCGCAACACCGATCAGCACGGTTCCTCAGCCGTTCGCTTCTTCTTGGAGGGTTAACAAGCTGCGATTGATTTCCGTGTCTCCTCTTGGGTAGCAATATACCCGTCTCATTTGGATTCCCAACGCTGGAGTGGTGTTGACCGACTGACGGTCTCTTGAATTCACATCTCCTGCGTGAACGAGTAGCCTGGTGTGCTGCAATTTGTCTATCTGAATTATATTGTTGTTTGTTTCTCGTCTGTCGAAGCTTGTTTGATCCATTGGCATTATGCGGCTTCTTGCCTGAATCCAGCCTAGTCTGCTGATGAATACGAGCCGATCTTCCGAGTCCTTCCCCCCTTTCGCCTCTGGCTGTGGTAGAGCCACACGGCTCACCGGTCAACGTAAAAGATGATTCATCGAAGAAAGTGTGATGGAGTTGAGTGTGCTTGCTTCTTTCTCCTCCTCTTTCTCCTTCTTGAGAAGTAGAGGCTGTGGTACAAGGAACCCTCGACCGTAAATCATTGCCACGTTTCTGTCTTTTTGGGCGTTCTTCGCTGACCTCATCGGCTGGACCGCGTTTAAGAGAATTTTTCTCACCCCTGCAATCCGGAATTTTCTCGATCGCCTTCGATTGACTTATCTCAAGTTCGATCAACGGACTTACTGAAGCATCTATCGTAGCAGAGTATCGTAGCGACTTGCCTCATGCTTTGTGATCCGGTAATCCTCAGTGTTCCGTTTGAATCTTGATATGAGATTATTTCGTCTTTTAATGAAATCTCGGTTCTGTATTGCCGTTGCTAGCTTAGATCGAGCTGCAGCTAGAATCCGCCGAGACTTTTGTAGAGAGCTACTGGAGCAGCGCCGTGAATTGGAGATGGCTTGCTGAGCTGACATTATAACTGAGAGCGCTGATTCTACAGGCTCTTCTGCCCGTGTTTCTTCACTCTGGCGCTGAAATGTATTATGTGATTGATATATTCTTTGGTATTAGGCATGCTACCTCCTAAGATTCGTAAGCGATAGCCCAAAAGCTTCAGACAAACGGCTACTGATTTGATCAGTATTCTCTGTATGTAATTTCTGTTGTTGGGCTATGATTGTACAAAGATGCGCAAGGTAAATAACAAGATGCAGTGATATCCTCCCGAGAACCAAGAAACGTGCGGTGCATTCTGATAGGCCAAAATTTCACTTCCTAGGCCTAACCCAGTCGACCAAAGGAGCGAAACTCTGACATTAGGGCCAAAGCGAAAGCAAACCCAGACAGTCCTCAACCTACACGAGAGACTCCTTCTGCAGTGTCCTGTCTGCAGTGTCCTGTCTGCATAGTCCCCAATCTCTAGGCTGATCAGCTTTGAATGCAGTGATGAATACATCCCAAGCAAATTCGGCCTCGACAAAGCTTTGTTATCAATTGGTGCAAGATATTTCCACCAGAAGGAAATCTTTAGCTCTGCGGTGGCGAGAACAAACAATCGCCGCGACAGATCCTTGAAGAAGGACAGCTTGGCCCTTGGCCCAAGAGCCGATTGAATGAGCAGCACGCCCGTGATCGCTCCCTAACATAGTAAATGAGTAGATCCAGCACATACAGCTCGGAGAGTATCGACATGGCCGGCAGTTTCACATCACAAAGGAGAGCACACAAAGGACAGCTCACAAGATACAGCTCACAAAATACAGCTCACAAAATACAGCTCACAAAATACAGCTCACAAAATACAGCTCACAAAATACAGCTCTCAAAGGCAATTCCCAAAGCCTGTTTGACAAAAGCTGACATAGGACCAGCGCAACCGGAAGGACACTGATGGTCGGAATGCCAACGATTCCGTTTGCGCGACCAGTTTCTATCTGGTGGAGTCTCTCAGTTGCGGTGTCTGTAAGCGAAGCCTGTTACGAGGCTTGCCTCAGCTTAAGGCTATAAAGAGGCTGGTTCTCCTCTTTATTTCTACTTACTCAGCCTTTCAACAACTGTGGACCTATTTCAAATATTACATGAACTGAAGTCTCCAAGATGAACTCTTCACCGGAGGAGGATGGGACTGCGCTTGATTGGGAGCGGGTTGTGAACGGAATCAATCTGAAGACCATCAAAACATCTGACAGACTCAACAGACATTGCCTGCGGTCTTCCACAAGGATCCCCAGTCTCAGGCATTCTTTTCATGCTCTACATAGCACCTCTATTCCGTCTAGGAAACCCAAGGAACAGATTTGGTTATGCGGACGACGCAGCTAACCTGGCAATCTCGACATCTCTTGCTACTAACTGCGAAGCCTTATCAGACTCCCTCCAAGAAGCTCTCAACTGGGGTGCTGCAGAGGGCATTACTTTCGCACCAGATAAATATGAGCTACTTCACTTCTCCCGACATAAAGCAGACCAGGACCCAACCTGCACACCTTCAGTGAAAGCTGGATCTATCACAATATCAGAAAACACTAAACGGCTATATCTACGTTGGCTAGGAATCCTCTTTGACAAAAAGCTAACGTTTAAATGGCACGTTGGAGAAACAGCATCTAAAGCCCTCACTGTGGCTAATGCCCTCCGCTCTCTAGGGAATACTGTCCGAGGAGTCAAACCTCATTTACTACAGCAGGCTGTATCAGCCTGTGTACTCCATAAAGCATACTATGGCGCTGAAACCTGGTGGCCAGGACGTACTCGCCCTGGGCCTTCCCAGACTTCAAACCGAGTTGGAGAACATCTTGAGAAACTCACTAAAGTAATACGAACAGTCCTTCCAGCCTTCCGCACAACCCCAATTCCTGTCCTTTATCGAGAGTCTGGTTTCTCTTCAGATATTGAACTAGATCGAATGGCCCTTCTTGCAACTGTCCGCCTTCGGCGTCTTGATCCCTATCACCCACTTCGAAGACCCGCAGAACAGATCGCTAGTAATGGCCGACAAACCAGCCGTTTTGCCCGCCGTATACTGGCCCTCCCTAATTCCGAACAGATAAATCCTCTCCAATACGCTCCCTGGCACCCTCGCGAGTCTCGCGAGAATGCCCAAGCTCGAATAGGAGCTCCTATGGGACGCACTAAGGAACAGGCAGCGGCTGATTTCGCAGACTTCCAACGCACCATCCCCAGCTCGGATATTGTAATCTTTTTAGATGGATCTAGGCTAGTAGACGGATGTGCAGGGGGTGGCTATATTGGACTTCAAGCACACCATCAGTTCCTCCGCTCCTCACTCTCATATGGACACGGGAAAGAGGTCTTCGATGCAGAAGCAGAAGCAGCTCTAGCTGGTGCTCAAGCAGCAATAGCGTACCCAACAGCTCAATTTGCTACCAACCTATGGGTCTGCCTTGACAACCTAGAAGTTGCCACACGCCTTCTATCTCCCTCTACAGGATCTTCTCAAGAAATCTTTGAATCCTTCCGCACCCTTACAGCCGCCTGGCCACTCCGCAAAAGGCTTCCTCACACCAAAAGCGGATCTATCCAAATCCGATGGGTCCCTGGACACGCCAAAATCCCTGAGAACGAAGCGGCTGATCTCGCTGCTAAAGAGGGAGCTGCCTCAACCCCTCCTGCTTTTCACAAATCCTCATACGCTTCGCTAAAGAGACACGCCAAGACTCAATCCCTATCCGCTGCTCAGTCACAATGGCAGAAGGTGGCACCACAGAGTTATCAAGATCTAGAAATAACTACTTCCTCTAAGCGCCCTGGGGAGCTTCAACTCAACCGACTTGACCTCGGCCGTATTATTGTGGCCCGTACTGGTCATGGAGACTTTGCAGACTACCATGAACGTTTTAACCATGATGATGCTCACCTTCTCTGCCGATGCGGAGCACGAAAAGCATCTCTACACTTCTTCTTCTGCCATATAGCTAAGAGACGAGCCCCTCGGCCTCCTGGGCCCCCTTCTGAGGTCATCTCTTTTCTCTTAGGAACTGCTAAAGGAGCACAAAAGCTAGCCTCATGGCTAGCAGAGACCCACTTCTTTGAGGATATCTGTCCTCGCCAACCTCTCCTTAGCACCTAGCTAAGACAGCCCTACTCTTCCTTTATATTTATCTTCTCCTTCTTTCTTTCCCTTCTCTTCTTTCTTTCCCTCTCTGCAAAACTTACTGTTCAGTTATGATAGTGGTGGAGTAATAGGTCATGGAGTGTAGGCGGACCATTACAGCTGGCAAATACCCAAAACCCACTCCAAGTGGACCTCCCTGTAAGACCACGGCAGCTATGGAAACGCGCTAAAGAGTCTCTTATTTGTACATAAATCTGATAGGACCTGAAACCCGAGGCTTACCCCTCGGCGGCCTATGTCCCAGTAGGGATCGGTGGGAAGCGTGCGAGTCACGAACCACGGCCGTTAAATACACACACACACACACACACACACATAGGAAGCAGTCACAATATTAGGAATCAAGATATCTTCATATTGTCAGGCTCATTAGGCCGCTTCGTGTTCGCGCCTTACTACCGTCTATGCTTCGTGATACGGACCGTAGTTAAACCAACATAGGCTAATGCAAATACAGCTGAAATTCCCGAGGGGATTATCCTCACAATCTTCTTACTACTATTCACGCCAAGACGGTAACTAGCTTTGGCGGGTACTTCGTACTATTGTTAGAATATCCCCGTCAGATTAGGTTCAGATGTACGGAGAACTCAGTACATACAATCTTACAAGTCACTTCTTTTCTTTGATCCTAGTAAAACACTCTTCAGGATTGGCCTGGAATAAACCGGCTAATCCGACAGAAACATCGACCTTTTGCTTAGACTCGTCGATCATTAAGTGGGTCCCATGGTGCGCTACGAGACGTTAGGGTCTCGAAAGGGCGCCACATTCTTGCCACACCACTCTAGCCTTATTTGCTTTCCAAAGTGGTTGAGATGTTCATCAGGTGACCTAGAAAAAACTATTATGTCGTCTATGTACACTATAACTGTTTTCCATAGGTATGGTCTGAGTATATTCTCCATCCGTTGCTGGAAAAATGAAGGTGTTGTAGCCAAGCCCATGGTAGATACCTTTAGTCTTTCAAGTCCGTGATGTGGTGTGATAAATGTAGTTTTCCAACGATCTTTCTCATCAATGGGTTGTTGAAAGAACTCTTTCCTGATATCCATTGATGAGAATATGCAGGAGCCACCAACCGCCTCGAAGACGTCGTCCTGTCGTGGGAGTGGGTAAGAATTGAGTAGTAACTTTACATTGATTTTCCTCATGTCTACTACGAATCGTGGTTTGCCATTTTGCCAGACAATAAATCCAGGTGAAGCTATTGATGATGTTTCACTTTCTGGGACTGGTTCAATTCGTCCTTCCTTCTGTAGAGCATCCAAAATCTCATTGGAAGCGGCCCTATCCCTGTGGCTCATCTGATATGGGCTAGTTTTCAAACCGTCGAGATTGTCGTCCTTGAATGGAATTGGCATCCTGGAACCTCTCAGGAGTCCTAACTCCGATTGGAAGAGTTGGCTGTGTTGTTTCAACAGTTGTATAACCTTTTCCTTGATTTCTGGGCCAAATTCGTCGGATATGTCAGCTAGTTCGACATTTGTTGGATCATCCTGAAAACCTATTTGGAATGGAATTGGGTCATCAAAAGCTTCCATCAATTCAGTCTCGTCATCTGTCAACATTGACATGATACGGTGGGACTGTGGAGGGATTTCTTGTAGCCATCCGACCAGCTCTTTGTTAGCTATCTTGATATCCGTTTTCCCTAGATTCGCAACAGGTATGACTGTGGTGTCAGTTGTTAGTAGCGCCCATGGAGCTGATGCATAGGTTTCGGTTGCTAGGTCGATCTTTGGTTCGGGTTGGAAAAGGTATCCTCTCTTAGTGTATGGTAATTTGTGGTGGCCTCGTCTTCCAATCATCACCAGGACGCCTTTCTGTATTCCAGAAGGAATGTCAGTTGTGGCCGTGGCGTATATAGCAACTTTTTTCATCTTTTTTCCTCTATTACACCGGATCCATACATTCCCTTTCTGGCCATGTATTTGTAGCAAATCATTCTTAAGGTCTATGGTCACACCCTCCTTCTTCAATACATTCAGTCCGATCAACAAGTCACAGCTTAGGTTCTCCACCACATGAACTTCCGCTGGAATGCTGATTGAGTGACCTGCTGTTGTTTGAAGGTCTAGGGTTAGGTTAACGTATGCAGATGTTTCGATGCTGCTAGCAATGCCACCGATTGGCGTATTCGTTATTGGAATTTTCTCTTCTTTTGGCCAGTAATGATATAGCGTTTGTTTCGATATCATGGAAATGGAAGATGCTGTGTCTCCGCAGAATTCTAAGTCATATCCGGATGGTGTAGCTGTAATCGCTGTGACATGTGAATAGTTCTGGTACTATCGTCTGGGTTGTCCTTCTGTTTTCTTTATTTTCTTTTCTAATAATTCATAATGGGTTACTGATGTGGTGTGTAATATTCCGGCTTGACAGCAAGTCGCTGGGGTGGAGCCGGATACCGACCCATCACTTAGTTTTTTGATGAATCAGAGGAGCTTGAATCATACACCATTTCCCTATGCTTTCGCAGATCGCGTAATGCATTTTTATCGGATTCAGAAAGAGAGTCCTCGGTATCTCCGGCATGGACCAGATATGCTTTCACTGTTGGTCGTCGAGTCGGGCAATCGAAGTCCCAATGAGGACCTCCGCAGTGTCGGCAGTCACGTAGTCATTCGCGTTTACTAGGAATTTCTTTCTTGGTGTCCTTTTCGGTTTGCTTGTCCTTCTGACGTTCAGGTTTGTCGTCCTTGTACTTGGATTTAGGATATGCTCTGGGTGAGGTATGTGTAGGAGCGAATCGGTTCAGTTGGTTCCAAGCAAGTCTAGCTGGGACTTCCCGTAGAAACAGTCGTCTGGTGAACTCGTCGAGGGACAGGTCCTCCTGTCTTATTGTATTCATGATGACTGGGTCAAGATTTTCCCAGACTCTGGTGACGATTTCGTCCTCCTCCTTGATGTTGGCTTCCTGGAGGAGTATGACCTTCCTTTCTACATACTCTCTTAGTGGCAGGTCTTTCTCCTTTGCGAAACGGAATTTGAGCTTATCAGCCTCTTGTCGCGCTTCAAATGAGCTCTTCTTGAAGCGCTGTTCTAATTGAAAGATGCACTCTGTAAGGGATTCCTGCATTGTATCTGTGATTCTGTCAGAAAGATGCGTGTACCAATCACGTGTATTGCCCCGTAAGCACAAAGGTATGATATCGAGAACTGGTTCCTTTCCATATGATCTAGAAAGCTGCCTAATTCGTTTGGTGAAGGAGACCACCGAATTTTTCTTAGAGTGAAAAGCATAACATCCTCTGGTTTCAGTGATTTACATGGGCGTCGATTGGTAGGTAAGGAATTCCGGTGTCGTCTATTGTCGCGTCGGTCTTGGTGACGGTGTCGTCTATGGTAAACGTCTGATTCTGAGGATGATTCATCTGAGTCATCAGGCTCACTTGGTATCCGACTTTGATGAGACTGTCCACTTGAACTACTTTCCTGTCTACCTGACGGTTCACGTGATTCGATCGCTTCGAGTTGGCCCCGTCGTTCTTCTGGATAGTTTCCTGTATCTGTCCCGGGTTGGCCGTTGGCTATGTCTATCTCCGTTGGAGCCCGTTCAGATGGTCCGGCGCGGAATCTCTCCATAAAAAGTCGGAAGGTCTCGATGTTATTAGCGGGATATCCAGAGCTGTTGATAGCGTCCCGTGCTATTGCTAAAAACTCCTCATATTTTGCAGTATCCATGCACGCAGCTAATGCCCGAGCCTGCGTATAATCGGTTTCCCTGATGAGTCCCGCGAATTGCGTCTGTTGTTCTTCGGAAATACGCCGCAGTAATGTCAAGATGTAGACCACATCTCTTTTGTATTGTGTTTTGGAGTAGGAAATATGCGGTTGAATATTAGTTTGAAAGATGGAGGTAATCCATCCTGGTACTGGAGTAGGTTCGCTCATTGTGATGGGGGTTAGGGTTGATGATAGTGTTGTAGATTCGATAACGGTCGTACCTTCCGTTTTCGTCCCTGCTTGCGTAGGCACCTCAGGCACAGCTTGTGCAGCTGTCTCCGGCCTTTTTCGTTGAGCAGGTAAAGGAAAGTTGATTATACGCGCGATATCTTTGATTTCGAATGATGTGAGGTGCTGTCCAGTCACCCAATCCAGTGGTCCGTAAAATTCACAGCCGTTGAGCTTCTCTGGGTCGACCGCTAGTCCTCTCCTTGTAAGTATTGCTGTGAGAGCTTCTGTGAAGCCTGGTTTCGATCGCTTTTGGAACGCTGGTAAAATTAAGAAGCTATGAAGCCGTAGAATGCGTTCAAGTGTCTCTTCGGTTATATCATCCATGTAGTCTTGTCCAATAGGATGGCGGCGTTGCGTGGATCGATGTTGAGGAGGGGAGAGTTGCGATGAAGATCGAGAGAAGAGTACCTGCTCTCACTGAATCCTATACGGATTCACAAAAGGAACAACTCCTATACGGAATCTGTTCTGTCCCTAGCTATACGCCTGGAACAATGCTACCATTTATAACGGCACACTAATCGTGGAAGGATGATCAAATCATTGGTCTCTATCTAGGTCTCCGGGGACCAGTAACTAACTAAGTGGTGTCACGTGACAAGGGGTCAGCACAGCTGTAGTTAGCTTAGATTTGTCGGATTGGTGGGTTTATTCCAGGCCAATCCTACAAAGTGTTTTACTAGGATCAAAGAAAAGAAGTAACTAGCAAGATTGTATGTGTTAAGTTCTGTATCTCTCTCTCTGTGACGGGCTAGGCAACATCGCCGTGCAAGACGACGGAAGCCCTAAACCCTAGGGTGATATCTATAATGGGAATATCCTTCTTTTTTTTTTTTTTCGGGATTTCCTAAAAAGGCACCGAGGGGGCCATTGTACGAACATGTAAAAAGTGTCTCTGCGCGCTGTCAAGTCAGCTTCTTTTCTTTTCCCCTCCATGCTTAATTTTCTCGCTGCAGGTTACCCTTAGTTAGAGCTTTGGAATGAACATCGTCACACTCTCCATCAGGTTTCAAAGCCGGGTCCTTTATAGACACCTTTGGCGGGGTGATTTGTGAGCTATCAGGAGGGGTAAATATTGGGCTGAAATCTAGGTGCCCAGATATATGCCTAAAGGTGCCTTTTAGACCTGTAAGATTGAACAGTCGATCTTTCTGCCTCGTTTGAGAGCCGGATTGTCTGACAAGATTACCAATAACAACAACTAACTTAGCACATTAACAACCTGTTGTTGGATATCTGATACGCTAATCCCATTCTGGACAACCTTACTAATCGGTGAATCCCCGGAAAAACACAATTGCCGATCCCAGGTTTGGCACAATATCGACAGCCCTACTTTTGGATTCAGGATTGCTATTTTGCCACTATATTGTGTATATAAAGAGGATCAAGATGCGTAGCTAGCTGTGTTTTTAGAGAGTGTGCAAATCAGAGTCAATTATTCCTCACCCAAATTGTACGCTCCTATCAGAGCCTAACCCCGTTCGGACTAGTACCAAAAGATTCCAATACCTGTTGAATATCACGTGGCTGCGGCAGGGATGTGGGGCCGGGCATATTTATTTATATAACGCCCCTGCCTGTATCTAGCAAGACAAAACTAGCACAATATTACCATCAGTTCAACCTACTGTAACATAGCATTTCATATGAGAAGGTCAACCTGGATGGAGAGTTTCTGCGATCTACAGCACTTAGACCGATCTAATGAGGTACTCTCCATATTTAAATGTTGTCTACTGTATTGTTAACGTCGCTAAGTTGGTCGATCTAGCCTCACATTTCACTAATCAGAATTCTTATCGCTAGAACTGTACGACGGAAAGATCTGACTCTTGCTATTCACCATCTTACATGCCTTGATTGTCAGAATTAGTCAATCTTCAAGTGTCATATCCTGGATTCCGGCATAGTTTCTGATCTCCCACATCATTTGCACCCATCCTTTCACGTCTTCTGGGCTCATAGCGTCCTCGTCTTCAGTATCATCGCCCAACCAGTCACCAAATTCATCTAGGGGATCAAAATCGTCGTATCGTACGAGGATGAATGTTTTTCCTTTAAGATATGCGAATTCGAAATCTCTGTTGATTAAGCAATATACTGGTCGCCTCCCATTTCCACTCTGATCTGCGAACCAAAAGCCAATGAATACGCCTTCATGGATGAATATGGGAGTTGAACACTGTTCACAATCTGGGTCATCCTCCTCGACAGTAATACCTTGCTGTGAGTTACTTTCTATCTCTATCGAGGGGATTGGTTTGTCTGGACATCTCCTTGATGGCATTGTGCATCGCTTCTTTGAAGCGGGCTGGATAGAAGGACTCCCATCTTGTTCCTGTTTGAGTTTTGAGGATAATCGGCGAGACGACTCTGAGACAGTCTGTTGAGTTGGCGATTTATGGCTTGCCATGTTTGCTTGCATTACGACAGCAATGAGTTCACAAAACTAGTACTCTCTGCGATTAGCACGTTTCTCACTCGGTGATACTGGGCACTATACCTCTGGTTTAATGTCCTGGATTTCTTTTGATGATGGGATAAGTAAAGGAAAATGGAACAAGAGTGCAGACAGAGGCCGTTATATAGTTAGACCACCAAGAATTTTGGTGCCCTAGGATGCCGAAACCCAGACCGTGTCTGCGACGCTACGACCAATCATGGTTCCAGCGGAAGTACATGGTGAGGCAGGTCGATAGAAGTAGCTCTCAATCAGGTGATGCCAGTACGCTTGGAGCATGGCATGGTAGTCATTCCCGGATTCAAGAACCACTTCGGAGCAGATTCTGCCTACTGACAGGCTCTGCCTGGGCGTACCCACTGGGATGAAGTATCGCCTAGTCAGAGGTGGATAACAATTATAAGCAGCTGGTTACGGAGTTACATCCTATGTGAGAGGTCGGTTCGAGCTCTAGGAAAGATGGTTACGTCGTCGTCAATGGATGATGCGGGTGATTGCTCTCGTCCGCTCCGGGATAGCGAGATCGCAAGTCGAATTTTCCACTTTGGGAAAGCTGGTATGAGAAGCCTGACCGAGTGCGACACTCGCGATTTCCTACCAGCGATATCATACACTAACACACTGACACACTGACTGGTCGACAAGAACCTGATCAGTGCTGTTGCACCACGCATCACCTACCCTCCTTCTGATTAGGACAAGTCCAGCCTCGTTGGTTGTGAATGCTGCACGTTTCTAGCCACTTCTCTTGGATGATAGGTCCGTGAATACATCCTCTCGTCCGCATCAGGTCTGACACTACAATAAACTCTCTATCGCTGATTTCTAGATAGATGTCTTGGGATATGCTGCATGTGCACTTTGTGGACGGATGATAGACTGATTCTTTTCATCGTCTTGTAGAGACACTGCGTCAGTGATGAACTGATTGGTGATGCAATCAATAATCACTCCGCTACATGACTGGCACGGGCCATCAGTAATCTTTGTCGCTGGGCCTCCAGTGACCGAGGTGTCTTCTTGGATTAAATTAAAGAGCAAACCACCAGTTACTAGACTGCTACCAGATCTCTTAGCGCCAGTGGCTTAGTCGACCGTGGAAATATGCTTGATTGGTGGTGTCGAAGAGAGTGTTATCATACACTTGTGCATGGCCACGACAGAATCTAGCGCTAGTGATTCTTGCAGAGACGTCGGCCTGAGTAATGGCCCTCCGGAGACACAGCCATGACTGATGGAGGATTGGATGTAGCCCCTTTTGATGATGGCATCTTTCCGATAATACTCTGATTCTAATTTGCACCCCTTGCGAAGAGATCGGTTCTAGCTCCAAGAGAGATAATGAAAGGAGACCGTCTGCCATGTAAGATGATTGCAACACTGGTTGTACGGAAAGTTCCCTTCAGAGTCATTACTGCACGAGATTGAAACGGAGTCTACTAGTGGCCGGTCGCAACCGGAAGCGAACACGGACGATTAGTTATCAATGCTTAGACGAAGAAGCTGCAATGCGAGCTAGGTTGTATGGCTAGAGAGAAGACGGTCGTGGGTAGTGCTTGATTGGCACAAACGATAGCTAGCTGATCAGGAGACCATACCATTTCAAATATCCCAGCTTCAAAGTTTCCTTACTCTCTTTCCGATGTCTCACATCGTCTACTGCCTTCAGCTATACAATGGAACCCCAAGATTGCTATCACGTACACTTCAGCAAAGTCCTAGATGGCGCACAGCCACGTCGTGAACATGCTCAAAGCAAAACAGAAGTTATTGTCATTGAAGATGATGATGGTCGTCAGTCAAATGATCGGGCGTCCAATGCGATAATACAAGATCAGCATGCTCCGGGACCATCTACCAATCGTAAACGCAAAAGAGACAGTGATAATCTTTCTTCCAAAAGTGTAAGTCTTAGCCTGAAATATTGTTATGCCTCTCTTCTGACTATTAACAGCATGACTCTTCAAAGAGGTACCGAGATATGTGTCAATCCTTCAGTAACACGGTTGCTCGACTCAGAAAAGATTTACGTTCCTCAGAATCAGAGAGTCGCAGACTTCGACAACTTTTTGACACGCAAAAGGCCCGCAAGAGTTTTGAATGTCCAATCTGCTTAGAGGAGAAGGAGAAATGGCTGTCTGTCCAGTGTAGGCACCTCATCTGTTATGGTTGTGTATTTGGATGAGGTGAATGGAAACATAGCTTTTGTATGAACGAAAAACTACTTAAGTGGTTCCTTACTTATGTAGAACTAATGAAGAGTGATTTTTCAGAATTGCTAGAGACTTTTTATATTCTCCTGTCTTACTATGGAAGCGTCTACTATCATCGCAATCAGTAAGCCGTATGAGGATTGCGGTACGAACTTGGAAAGACTTAGATAACTCAATTGAACTTCGGGGTCCAGCCCTGAATGATTTGAGTTTGTAAGAAATCTATGATAGAAAATTCTATGTCACAGTCGAATGGGCATCACTTGCATGACGCTGCAGCTCCATTTTCCGGAGGAATGTCTGACCACAAACTCCACAGCTTACGACATTGCCTTCTACAATATGCTTGAGATGTTTGCGCTTGATATGCTTGGTGACATCGCCATGCGCCTTGAACGTTTGCGTACGCTTCACAATGTCGAGATTAGGGTTACCCACGCAAAGGAAACATAGAAGAGGCCTTTGAACCTTTTCCTTTCTATTTCTGGATCTCGAATCCATTGATACCGCACGAATCGCTTCGTGTAGTTTTGACTCTTGTGGAGAGATTCCTTGATCCTTTGTCTCAACTTCTGGGTGGGAAAGTTTATGGGTTACGTCAATAGGTCCATGCACGGAGTATTGCCGCTTATCGTGAGCGATGCGGCAAGTATCACCCTCCTCAAATAGACAGTAGGCGGCGATAGCGTCAATCGCTTCTGTCCGTCGAAGCATTTCCCCCTCCAAAGTTGGTCGTGGTAAAGTCAGAAGAGCTGCGCTGAGCCGCTTCTGAGGTAACGGTATTTCCTCAGATTGATAAAGACGATGACTCACAGACTCAGAGAGCTTCACGCCAGATAATTGTCGCTGAACCTCTAGCATAGGCTGTTCCTGGTCATATTGATTCTGTATCTCCTTGAGCAGCGCGTCCCGAGCTCTCCGGCGTGCGCTCCCTAACTCCTTGGTCAGTTGCTGATAGAGGTCATATTTAACCGTGCCTTTATGCTGAGATAACGGGCGACCGAGGCGCCGGCCCAGATGGTCTCGCCGGCGGATGAGATCCTGAATCTCAGGAAGTTGATTGACAGATGACGACTGTGCCGTGGTAAGCTCTTGTGGCCGGTTCGGGTCAATTGTCCGGCTCATACGGCAAGCAGCTCGCATCATTTCCTCCTGGGGATCAAGACCGCGAATGATGCCCGCCACATCCTTGTCGATGCGTCGCGAAAGGTAGTATTTAAGGAATGTTCGAGTATCAGCATGATGCATTATCAGGTTTCGAAGAGCATCGCTGACCGAGCCTGCAAGATCGTTGTTAGAAAAAACGTACATTTCCGGTATGCGGCAAGCAGAATCATTGCTTACCACTATTGTCCAATGCCTTCGCAGCTCCATATCGAAGGCTGTATGGACGGGCCACCTGCCGGAATGAGGTTAGGACACCCATTTTTTTAACCCACGGCAAGAGGGTCGAGTAGGGGAGCGGTCGGTCATGGGAAATCTCTATTCCCCGAGCGGTGCGTTCAGACTGACGGAAGATCGGAACATCGTCCAATGCAGGATCAAGCAGCAAACTGTAGCTCATTGCATTCCGGACGGATATACAGTCGCAAGAGCTGTTCCGCCGACACCAGTACTTCTTCACCATCTACGCAACGGAAGGCACGGTCAGCAAATAATAGGCCCAGAAGAAAGACATGAGGGCTGAGGACTAGCGAAGGATCGAAGATGATTTCCGGGAGAGGAAATGTATTTCTAATCGTTGTCAGATAATAGCACGCGACAGAGTGATAATGATCAAATGGGAACGCCACATACTCATCTTTTGCACCAAGAAACTCCTTCGTAAACTCAAAGGTGAGCTCGATCAAGATTCGGTGCGGGCCACCACAAGGGTCCCGAAGCAAAGTCACTAGAATATGTCGATAGCAGAGGTCTAAGATCGCCTGCGGCCGGTTTGTAGTAAGGCCAGCGAGCTGCAGAAACAAGCACAGTTCGATCCGATGGCGACCATGGCCAAACTTCTTCCTGGTCGTCACAACTGTAGTCTCTACAACTTTTGCAAGGTCCTCCACATACATGACTGACTTTGCACGGCCCTTCTTCTTCAGATGGTACTTCTTAGAGAGATGTCGAATCACCTGTGATCTGATCAGCTGCAATAAATCCAATTTTTACACAACCCCGGCCTGAGGCCGCTCTAGATGGGAAAGGATCGTACCCGTTTCATCTGACGCGTGGTAACAGGATCAATCTTGTCGCCGGTGGCTCGTTCGTGCACTAGACGAAAGACCTTCCAGAACGTCTGCAGTGAGCTCTTGGTTTTGATGCCGCGCAGCCGGCGTCCACCTTTCCCACGACGTAGGTTCAGCACCCATTCGAGGAAGGTTCCCAGGAATTTCGCTGACAGTGCAGAGTAAGACTCCACAGGGTCTGTCTGTGTATATGAGCAAAATCTAGAAGAAGTGAGATTTGTGCAACAGGCCGCTGGCAAGTCTAGCAGCACGTACCCATTCCAGCATCCTTCCACCCGATCGAGCATGCGTTGAGTTCCAGAACTATAGTCCTCCTGATTATAGATCGTTTCGTCGAAGTTTTTGAGCTGATCGATGTAGTACTGCGGAGGATGTTCGTTATCGGCGAGGAAATCTGCGAGGTCACTTTGATCTTGGGCGTAGTTTACATCGTTGTCGTTATCGTCATCATCATCGCAGGTGAGATCAGTCTCTTGGACAGCGTCGACATCACTGAAGATAGCATCATCTGCTTCAGACGGTGAATCATCGACCTTCTCGCGGCAGTGTCGTCTTCGCGTCATCCTTATATATGCGAACGTCTGGTGAAAGCAGAATGATTCCTGAGTCAACAACAAGTGTATAGAGTGTCGATATCAAGGGAGGAGACGCCGGTGATCCAACTGAGGGGACCGTCGAGGAAACGGTGTCTTATACGGACAGAGAGACATAGTGGAAACCATGTTTTTGCCTAGCGTGACCGAGGAGAGGCAGGAAGGTGAGAAGGCCATTTCTGGCTCTCCTCAGGAGCCTGATGGCTTGGAAACGAGTCGGCGGCAGCATCGATCATTTCGGCGCTAACACATGCCAAGCCAGGAACGGACAGTGGTGGGGTGCGAGAGCGTGCGTGGAAGTAACGAAACGGGAGCGTGGTGGAAAGGTTTGGCAAA